CTGGGGTACCTTACAGTTGTGTTCCTTTGCTTCTCCCCTACCAACAAGGGCACCTCTAGTGACTCTTCTGTCAAATTAATGATGAGTCTGCCTATAAGAAAAAAAAAACAGTTGAGATGATGATAAATTTTTGTGAGGACCCACCATCCATCTTCCCTTTGTATCAATAACAGTGCTGTTAGTAAGGGAGTCATCCAGATTTCTAGGTACAGCCATCTTCCAAGAACTTAAATGGAAGGTAAACACAACCATTATCAAGAAAGCTCATCAGAGAATCTTCTTTCTGCAAAAGTTGCAGAAACTCCTCTCACTGGTTCTCTTAGTTCTACAGATCCACCATCAAGAGCATTCTAACCACTTCCATAAGTCAGGGTCCTTACTTGAACTCCATTGAGATGCTGCACAGGACCTTAAATGGACAGTTCATGCTTGAAATATCTCCAGCATGGCTGAATTATAGCAATTCTGCAAAGAAGAGTGGGCCATAATATTTCCATAGTGATGTAAAAGACTGATCTCCAGTTATACAAAGCTGTTGTCAATGTTGCTGTTAAAGTTTATTAAATTTAGGAGCAGTTACTTTTTCACATGGTTAATTTAGGTGTTCAGTAATTGTAAATTGTTCGCCAGTTAGCTCCCAGTATTTTTTTTTTTACCCAGTTTCAAGAATGGGAAAAAAATCAGCCGCCCCCCTTGCGGTCGAAGCTGGTATAGCATGCTAATATTAGCCACTTAGTTCTTCAGTAAACCTTTTTTTCACCTGGTTCACAAAGTGCAAGGGGAAAAATCTGCCACCCCCTGCTAGTTTAACATGGTAAGTGTTAGTCATTTTTTATAGTAGTTGAAAAATATGGAGGCTCTGAAAGGATGTGATTTTTTAGGTACAAATCTTGTGAGCACCAGATATTATCAGATGAGCATCAGGGACTATGTGGTGAGCACTAGATACTATCAGGTAAGCACCAGATATTATCAGGTGAGCATCAGATACTATGTGGTGAATACTAGATACTATCAGGTAAGCACCAGATACTATCAAGTGCATACCAATAGTATCAGGTGAGCACCAGATACTACTGAGCACCAGATACTATCAGGTGAGCACCGGATACTAGCACCTGATAGTATAAGGTAGATTTTTACCTAAAATAATACATCATGTCAGCCATGTCACCAAGACAGCTGCAGCACAGAGTGCAATTAGTCTTGGTGGAGATTAGTGGAGATATCTTCATAAGACACCCACCACGTGTACTGAATTATGATAATAAGCTTTATTTATGCCGCACCGTCTGACCGGAATTTGAAACAGAAAGACTTAAAACTTCAGGAACTTGTGTCATTGAATTGTTTTAAAAACATTATTCAAACGGTGGAACAGTTCCACCATTTGATGTGTAATTTGTTCCGTGGGAATAATTCGTTTACCTATTTTAGCCAGGACAGTCCTGTACAAAGATTTTAGTGAAATCTTTTCCTGCTTAAATAAAAGTAAATAAATAGATGACATCAAATTAAAGATGATGTTTGTAAGGTTGCCATCTTTATTAGTTGGGGGTGACAGCTCTCGTTACTTCTGATATATAAGGGCTTTTTCAGTAGTCAGGCTAAGCCTTAACAGAAATATCCACCATTCTCCTGATTTAGAACGGGGGTCCCACAATAATAATACACTAATAAAAACAATTAACTATTCAGTTCTTCAATATTTACAAGGATTACATGATCTATTTAAATGCAGTGTATTAATTGAGTTAATAAACTAAATTACACAAAGTCATCATTTATAAGGTACTTTCAATTGGGAGGTGTCTGTCCCAAACCCTAACCTCTAAATTTCAACGTGGGAAAATAACATTTAAATTTTTTGCATTTTTTCTATGTTTTTTTTTTCAGTTCTTTCAAAGTGAGGTTAAAAATGTAGATTTAGCTTGAGTTTAATTTTGAAATAACACTTTTGCTGTCCCATTGTTTTCATGTCACTACTGAAACACAAAGGCTCAGCTGAAGAGGAAGAGGGACAGTTAGTGAACTGTTCTCTTATTCCATTGTATATTGAACATTGTATATAACTGTGTGTGATCGTCCAGCATGTGACCAGCTGAGATCTTCCAGCTCTTGAACATAAGCAGCAGATCTCAGCAAACCGCACTGTGTGGCTGCAGAGACACAGCAACAGTGCCATCTGCAGGACGTGCTCAAACACTGTAAACCAATCAAACGCTGGCTCTTCTTGTGTCCTCCAGTCTTTTCAGTGCTGGACAGTTTACAAGGTTAAATATCTTAACGAAAACATTTTACAACAACCATCTCTCTCTCAAGGCATCAAGGAGTGGCAGAAGTGTTTCTAGGTTGATTAAAGATTAAGGCCTTTACAAGAAACACAGCATTAATCTTGAGTTAGTTCACAAGAAGCAACTGAAACACTCAAAGAGATACATAAGTTTTTATACAACTCAGGGCTTCCCATTTTTATTCTTAAACTTTGTATAATTTGGGAACCATTAATTCTCAAATTACATGACCTTATTGGCTACCATTATTTCCTAATCAGCATATTAATTTTGGACCATGTCCAGCTTTGTTTGAAAAGAGCTGTATCATTTTTCTTGGCCATTTTCCAAACTCTTAGCTCTCTAAACCCCCCCCCCAATTTGGTTTATTTTGGTAAAATTACCTTAAAATGTTCCACTTATCTCTATCCTAGAGAAGCTTCATTGTAGAAAATTAATTATTTATCTTTTTATATGGTTATTGAGGTCATACCTGTAGGATTCCTACACAGTATTCGGTTTCTAGGTCACACTAAATTCACTGTGACCGAAGGCACAGGGTACACAGAGTTCATTTTACTAGAGGTACAGAACTTAAAAACCTCCACATATCCATCCTTGTGACTTGAAAGTCATAACAACAACATAAGCAATTATAATTTCACTCATCAACAAAAACCCAGAAAACCAATAAAAAAAAAAACAATCCTTCCCACTTATGACTTGAAACCAAAAACAAAGTAACAAAGAGGTAAAAGCAATATACAAGTTAAATGTGAATAACATAGAAACACAGGAGTTTAAGAGATACGAACCACTGTACATGCCCACAATCAGTGTCAGTTAGTAGTGAAAAAAATACATAATGATAAGACCAAAATAAGTATAATGGTGTCACATCAGTTAGTTGTATATAGTATCATATTACAAATGATAAATCAAACTATCACATCACTTCATTCCCAGAGACGGGCAAAAACCTCTTAGATGGAATGATGAAAAAACTCCTGCCTTACTCGCAAAAAGTTCACTTGAGTTCAGCAGGTGATGGAAGGTTGTAATGATTACACAAATATGTACATGAGGAGTCCATAAGTGATTATCATATCAGATACAGAACAATCAGTGAACTCAGGCAATTCCACCACACGAAGCATGCAGTAACCTCAGTCAGTACAGGGCACCATATCACTTTACTTGCTTCATAATAAAAAGATCCCCGCCCAGGGATCCACCTCCCCACCTACAAAGGTCGCTCCCACCTCAGTTCTAGTCTGCTCACTGCACAACTGAATGTTGTTTTGTACAAAGTCTTTTAGAGAGTTTCTCTGTCAGTTCTGAGCCTTGTTGCTTATTGTTATATCCTATTGGATTTTGACCCTTGGCTGTGTTTTTTGGTTTTTGAGTTTTGTACATAGTATTGGATTTGGTTGTATTGAACTTCAGATTTTTCCCTGGACTGCCTATGACCTTTGAAATTAACCTGTTTGAAAATAAAGATAGCTTGCAATTGGATACTACTCGCTTCCCTTCTTCAGAGTTACACTGTGACTTTACACCACACGGAACAGACATGGATCAACTGGAAAGAGGTTTCTAACACATCATATAACTCATATCTTCATACTTGTCTTCCTTTTCAACTTCCATAGGCCTAACAACCAAAACAGGTTATGTCTCAGTTAACTGTTTTCACGTGGTTTGTAAACACCACAAGTGTCCAGTACCACCCACTGTCTTGGCAATCAGTCTGGTGATCAGAGGAATGAGACAACATGACAGAGCAATAGACCCACCAAAAACAAAAATAAGATCATACCCAGTCAAATGAGTATAGCTCTCCCAACCTCAGACAATAACCATGACCACCAGCTTCCTTTGTCTTCCATAATGTTCATAACATGTGCATCCCTAAGGTCTTTCAATTTAATCATCATTATGGTAAAATTTCCCTCATCAGAAGTATGTAGTTACATTGGCCATTTGTGTGGTGCTTGGAGTAAGCACTTTTGCTAATAAGACGAGAAGAAAATGGAGAAGATGAATTTGATTCAGTGTGACATGGTGGCATGCTGCTTAACAGGGTCTAAACCCTAGATGAGCAAACCAAAGGCGACAGTGGCAGAGACAACTCCTAGTGAGGAAGAAACCTTGAGAGGAACCAGGACTCGACTGGGGAACCCATCCTCCCCTGGTCGACACTTGCGGATGGCGTGAGCTGTTAAGGCTTTAAGCAGAGCAGCTGCATTGAAAGCGATGGGAACCAGGCAGGGAGACTGCGCGTGGCCAGGAAAATCGAGATCCTAGGCGCTTTCAAGGACTCACTAGCCAGAGCAGCAAGTACGATGAAAACGGATTTCAAAAGGATGTGGACTAGACTATTCCTGCAGAAGGCAGGTGGGTGAAGGGAATTCAGGAGAGAGTTGAGGTTTGTGGCAGAGTGGTTCGTAGCTACACTGGCATCTCACAACAAATTGCAAACACCTTATCACAGGAATGGAAGTTGGATGTAAATTTGTAGAGCATTAGATTGGAAGATAGAGAGGTTTAAGGCACCCCCCCCACACAAACTTCAGTTATGACATAACTTCATTTATGTATCCATGTAGAGAAGCAACCAATACAAAGGGCACTGTTCTAAGTTAACCTTACTGTTGTCTAGCCCATGAGCCATCAAACCCCAATAGAATAGCAAGATCATCATCAAAGCCAAAAGCAAGCACTGACTCATTCTGATGGCTAATCTGCTCCTCAGATTCTGCAGTTTTGCCTCCTTCGTCGTCAGTGGGGCCTTTGTCAACATCCAGTTGCCACTCACCTGTTGTTTGATCTGCAGCTTCCTCAGGCTGTTGGGCAGGGACATCTGCAGTGGATGGTTCTCCAGCATCTTGGGGTTTAGCTGCAGGGGTTAGTTGTTTGTCATCTGGTGCTGCTGCTCAAGGAACATCACTTACCGCTTGCATTGGGTGATTGGATTCCGGAGCTCTAGAACAGTGGTTTAGATAGTAACACAATTTTCTTCCTTCCACTTTTCCTGCTGTAAGTGTGGCCAGAATCACCTTGAAAGGCCCCTCATATCTGGGCTCATTCCACTTCCTTTTGAAGACTTTGGCATAGACATAGTCTCCTGGAAGCATCTCTTTCAGGTCTTTCTCATAAATTTTGGAGGTCCATACAACTGTGGCACCTTTTACCTGGGCAAAAATATCTCAATAGATTTTAGTTAGACATGTCACCTGCTCATGCAATTCAGCTTCAGATAGTGTGCATGAAACATCTCTTACCTTTTGCTAACTGACATGCTGTGGCTAGTGCCTTAATCTCAGCCAATTGTGCACAACATTGTTGGGGAACATCTCAGGAAAGAACACACCAAAATGATGTCACACAAACAAAAGATAAATTCAACAAACTGACCAAATTACCAAACCAAAACACCTCTCAAGGGAGAGAGAGCTGACTATATTTCAGCCTTTCCTTTTTTTCCCCTTGTCTTAAATGAAAACAATGTTTCTCTCTCTTATTTTGTTTGTCTCTTTTTCTTCTCTGTCAACTAGCTTAAAGCAGTGCTTTGTATTCTCCTCTTTGTTTGTTTTCTCTTTTTATCCTTTTCTTTTTTCTCTTTCTTTTGTCTTTATACCCACCTGGGCTAAAGTACTGTACTGGTCACCCCTCTACAAAGGTGTGACAAGTGTGTTCTGTTTGCCACAGCCTTAAATGCTGATAATCAACAGGGGTGCCTGGTTGGCACTGATTACCCCTTGTTATTCTGGGATTTTGAGTCTCCCAGAGAAAAGTGCCTCACCACTGTTGCCCTCTGCTGGCAGTTGGCAGCACAGGGTGACCCTTTACAGGACCCCCTCCTCTAGGACGGCCCCAGAAGTCCCCAGGCCTACAGCACACACCTGCCGGAACTCCTGGATGAGTCCCAGGTCGAAAATGTGGCGTGCAGAAACCCAAGACCGCTCCTCGGGTCCGTAGCCCTCCCAGGCCACCAGATACTGGGTGCCATGCTGTGCTCCACATGGACGGCAGGAGATGCAACTGATAGGTGACTGGGTTGATAGGTCTTTCCACCTTTAACAGCCCCACGAACCATGGTGCCGACTTCTTGGATTTCACCTGGTGAGGGCGGTCCTTAACAGACAGCCAGATTCGCTGACAGAAAGTTGGCATGCCATGTCTCTTGCAGTCAGCTATGCATTTCCTGGCCTCAGTCGTGGTCAGCAGCAATGCGCAGGCCTTCTGCCATGCCCTCCGGCAATGCCTTACAAATTGTTCAGCAGCAGGGACCCTAACCTCACCCCAAAACTGTTCAGCAAACATGGGCTGAGGGAACCCAAACTGGCATTCAAAAGGTGACATGGCCAGAGATGAATGACAGAGTGTGTTATGGGCATATTCTGCCCAAGGTACATGATTCACCCAAGAGGCTGGGTTGGTGGAAGTCAAACACTGCAGAGTCTGGGTAAGATCCTAATTGACCCTCTCTGTTTGGCCATTGGACTCTCAGTGGAAGCAGAGGAGAGACTTGCAGAGGCTCCCATGAGCTGGCAGAAAGCCAGAAAGGATGGAGGAGACCTTGGGGCAGTGACCTGGGTGCCTTGTTGCGAGCACATACCTCACATGATGCGATGAAGGCATGGATGTCCTTCTCCATACTAGGCCACTAAAAACATCTGTGCAAAAATCCCAGGGTCCTAGTCACCCCCAGATGCTCTAAAAAAGGGGGGGGGCATGTCCCCAGGACATAACTTGCTCTCTCACTGCTGTGAGAATGTACATCTTACCAGGAGTGCCTCCTGGGTGATGGTCTCCAGCTTCCATTAGAGAGGAGCCAGAATGCGAGGAGTGGGAATAATGGGCTCTGGAGTGGGGTCTGACTAGGAAGGTGCCCACTACCTCGAAAGAGCATCGGGCTTAGTGTTCTTGGAATTGGGTCTTTAGGACAGCACAAAATCAAAGTGGCTGAAAAACAATGCCCACCAAGTTTGGCAGGGGTTCAGCCGCTTAGCCTGCTGTATATATGCCAGGTTCGTGTGGTCAGTCCAGACCATGAAGGGGTGCTTGACAGCCTCAAGCCAGTGCCTCCAGTCCCAAAGGGCACACTTTACAGCCAGAAACTCTCTATCCCAAACATCGTAATTACACTCAGCTGGTGTGAACTGGTGAGAGTAAAACGCACAGGGATGGAGCTTCTCGGCTGGGACTAGGCGCTGGAAGAACACTGCTCCTACACTCAGATCTGAAGCATCTAGCTCGATGATAAATGGTTCCTCAGGATCGGGTAGCTCGAGGAACCGGAGATGTTAGCTTTAATTTATTCAAAGGCATTTTGGGCCTTGGTGGTCCAACAAAATGGACCTGGAGTCTTCCAGGTGAGGGGAGCCGCCACAGAAATAAAGTTCCGTATGAAGCACCAGAAGAAGTTGACAAACTCCAGGAACTGCTGGACCAACTCGAGAGAGGTAGGACAGAGCCATGCCACCACAGCCTTGATCTGGGCAGGATCCATGCAAAGGGTGCCTTTAGACACCACAAAGCCCAGGAATGATACTGTTGAGGCATGGAACTCTGACTTCTCCAGTTTAACATACAGGCAGTTCTCCAGTAACAGCTGGAGGACTCGCCTGACATGCCCGATGTGTTCCTCGAGGGAGTGACTGTAAATGAGTATATTGTCGAGGTAGACGTGTACATGGTGACCCAAGGCCTCCCTCAGCACATCACTTATGAAGCGCTGGAAGATGGTGGGGGCATTCATGAGCCCAAATGGCATGGCCAGTGGGGGTGAGGAACGCCATCTTCCATTCATCCCCGTTTGATGCGTATTAGGTTGTAGGCAAAGTGCAGGTCCAGTTTGGTAAATATGGTGGCCACTTGCAATGCCTCAAACGCTGTAGACATCAGTGGCAGGTGGTGGCAGTCTTTGACGCACAAAAAATATTGATTTGAAACAATAACAAATCCAAGCACATAGCAGATTTTTCTCCTGACCATGTAGTTTTTATTTCCTTCTAATACACCCTGAAAAATACAAGTGGACTGTTTTGTCCTCCTCAGGGCTATGCATGACATTTATTTCATGTGTCTGTGCAATGAATATCTGGCTTGCTGTGAACTTCACTAAAGGGCATACTGGCAAAGATGTCTTTAAAAAGGTAAATGTGTTTTTGAGGATTTTGAGAAGTTACTCTATGCACACTGTATAAACCTCAAATTCATTTGTATTCTATTAATGTGATGTATCAGTGTGTTGAATTGGGCTTTCTCTGTGCTGCTGTGTTTATATTACTAAGTGGAACAAGGCCTTTTTTTTATTGTTGGCTCAGAGTGAATTGATCCTTTCATACAGTTCAAGCTGATAAGCACTTATTATTGTTTTGTTAAATTAGAGTAACAATAAAATGTGACTCATAGGGCTTATATTCCTACAGTCGCAGCCTATGCACTAAGCGAAGGAAGGCAGCCATCTAGGACCCCCTTTGAGCCAAGACCCGTATAAAAACACAAATTATATATAATGTAATTGTGATGTTAACGTATTCCAAAGTACACACTTCTAATTCATGAAGAATGTGTTGTATGCAGTTCTACATAGACATAAAGATTTTTCAAACTTTTTTTAACTGGTTCTATATAGCACCAAAGAGTGTTCTGCTATTGTAATGATGTCAAGCTTGTACCAGTAGAAGAATCCTTTTCGGTGATACATAAACACAGTTTCAAAAAGGTTCTATTTAGAACCTCATCTCCATTAATCTGAAGAACTATTTGCAGATAACCATTTAAGCATGAAATTGCTCAATAAAGAAGTATGTATATATATATATATATATGTGTGTGTGTGTGTGTGTGTGTGTGTGTGTATATTTTACACACACATACACACACACACAACTGAAAATAGCTACACCATGTTATTATGGGATGACAAGGCAATCCCAAAAATGCAAAAAAGTTTGTTACTTCCAAAGGTAACTTTGTTTTTGCATTCAGAACATGGGGCTGCACAGGCAGACTGCACATAATGCTCATGTTTACATATGTATAAGGCACCGTTTCTTAAAACGAGCAAAATTATTTGCCATTATGGTGAGCTAATTTCACTTTACAAAATGACTTGTCGTGAAATAAGTTATCTATTAATATGTTTACCACAATCTCAAAATGAGAAATATTAGATATATCTACTAGATTTAAGATGATTTGCCTGAACATTGTTCTTGCAGTGTAGACAAATGAGCCACATATGAGTCCAGATTCTCACCTAATTTAAAAATGTGCATCCAGGGGCCCCACTCCTGTCTTTTGCCTGGACCTCCAGAATCACCAAATCCACCCCAGGTGTTCCTCTTAGTGCGTTTACTTGTTTGAAAAGGTAGTTTGACACAAACCAAATAAAAAAAGTACTAATTTTCAGCTTCGATAAATTACATTTACGTATTAAGGGCCAACTTGGTGTGACCTTGAATTGCAAAATGGCAGAATTACAATCAAGCAAAAACAAACAAAAAAATAAATGTTGAACTGTGTTTATTTTTGGTCTTTAATTCACTTTAAAACAACAGCAACATATATTCAATAAATAACACTGTTAGCATGTCATCTATCATCTTTTCTGTTTATATATACGCTTTTTGTGTGTGTGATATATTTTGGTATATGGCCAACATATATGAACATAAATTGGCATATATGTCACATGTATGACAGTAAGAGACAAATATAAAAGATGCAAAGGAAATATGTTAGTGCTGTCAGAATAAAAACTTCTGTCTCTAAAGCTATAACTGCACAGAAAAAGGAAAAAACTTGTAGTGTAACTTGAAACTTGAAATGTAGTAATGATTTATCCCAAGTAATTCTGGGTCATTTGCATTGATCTATTATTCATGAATTTTTTTGACATAATGTAAAGGGCATTTTCAAATTACATCAAAAAATGAAAAATTATTTTGTTCCAACAACTAAATATGCTAATATGTCATGCAGTCAACTCCAGAATTATTGGCACCCTTCATGAAAATGCACATATTTAAAAAATTCAATACTAGAAATTTACTTCTGGCTTGCCTTAGTAACATTTTTTTAAAAGTAGGTTTTAAAAATATTGGCAATATTAATAGGCAATATTAATATTTGGTAAAGCCTCTCTTGGTGAGAATAACAGCACTGAGCTGATTATTGTTATGCTTAACAAGGTTGGAGAATACTTGTTTAAGGATCTTGGACTACTACTCATTATTACTAACATTATCAGTTTCCTGATATTCTTGGGTCTACCCTCTTCAATACACACTACGGGTTTTTTAATTGGGTTCCAGTCTGGAGACTGAGAGAGCCATTGCAAAACTCTTATTCTGTGTTCCTGCAAACATTTCTGTGTGGATTTTGTTGTGTGTTTGGGGTCACTATCTTGCTCATAAGGTCAAGACAGATTTTGGGATAATATCTCCTGGCATTTAGTGAAATTATGCCACTGATTTTTACAACAGCCCCAGACCACTAGCAGCAAAACGGCCACAAAGCATCAACGATGCACCTTCATATTTGATAGTGGATACCAGGTACTTTTCACTCTATGCAGTTTTTTGTCACCGAATGTGACAATGGTGTGCATGATCAGAAGTTCAATTTATCTGACCACATCACACAATTTTCTTTGTAGTTTTAATGACATTTTGCATGTGGCTTGCTCTTCTGAAAGTCTTCTTTTGTGGAACTTTTCCAAAAATCTTCTGGTGGTATCTGAAAGTGGATTTTGAAATTTTAAAACCTTGTGCAGTTCTGGGACAAGGATTTTTGGGTTCCTCTTTGCCTGTCTTACTATCTTCCTCACTGTATGGGGGAAAATATGCTCAGTATGGAGTTCCATGGACAGAATGAGAAACCTTTTTTTGAATTAAATTATTATCATTAAAAAGAAAAACACTCAAGTTGAAAGATTTCTATTAGATAAATGGTGAGTAATTTCTCCAAACATTGTTAAGGAATACTTTAATCATTATATGCATTGTTTATTTTTATAGGATTTTGTTTTTTTAATGGGATGCAAACAATTCTGGAGTTGTCTGCAGATACTACAGGCCACACAGACACCCAATATAATGATATTCTTTGGTCATTAATACATCAATAGAAGAGACAATACAAAGGTCATACTTTTTGATGATGATTATACGGAACACAGTGCTTAACATTGGGACTAGCAAAATGATATAGCATATGAACAATATAGCAAAAATGTAGTTTTCACAATGTCATGATTTTTTGTAACATTTAATAAATGGGCAAAGACAAACTAATGACACATTTTTAAGTACAATGAGCTGTATTCAACTGTTTCACTGCATTATATCCAGTTGAATTTTCCTTCTAATTAAACATGCAAATCCACGATATCCTCAGTAAAGCATATTGTCACATGTTGTGACATACTTATCACAATCAATATAAATGTCAAATTGCCCTGCCCTAGTGAAACATGTAAAACATTACACATGATTGACATTTAAATGTGAGATAATGGAGAAAGTCTAATAATCTGTCCATCATGAATATACTGTTCTTGATAGTGGACAAACTGTTCAGTATGTTTGCTGATGTCCAGGAATAAAAAGCAATGCATGTGAAATGGTAATTTATGATTTTAAAAAATAGCATTTGATAATTCTCTAATGTTTAAAAATAAAACATTTAGTAACGGTCATACAAAACTGTGATCATGCAAAGTAAAACAGTATGAGCTTCAGGGAAGCTTCTGTTGGAAAGTGAACAAATTTAACATTTTTTCTTTTTATTTTTTACAAACATTATGAACAAATCGATCTACTCTTCTGCCCAGTGCTGTTCTTTCTGCCTCTACCTCTGCACAGCCCTCTACAAATCCTTTGTCTCTTGCCTCTTTTACCTTTTCATCAAGTTTGGCATGAAACTCCTCCTCTGCTTGTTTTCTTGCTACTACTTCAGTCAGTGTTTTAAGATTCTCTATCTCTCTGGTGTGAGTCTCTATAATGAATTCAAGGTTTCTCCTTTCAACTTCAGTCCGTATAATCTCTTCTTCCTCTCTCTCTTTTCGAAAAGACTCCAGCTGCTTCTGTAGCTGTTCCTCCATTTCCTCTCTGAGTTGTTCTTCTTTTTCATTTCTTTCTTTCTCCTCTTTCTCTCTTTGTGCCTCCAGTTGTTCCTTCATCTGTCTTATTTTTTCATTTGCCTCATTTTCTATTCGTTTCCTCTCCTGTTCTTCTTTCTCTTTTCTCTCCTTTTCTTTTAAATCTTTTCCCTCAATTTCTTTTTCTTTTTCCCATTCATGTTGTTTTTGCTTTCTAATCTGCTGTAAAGTCCAGGCTTCCTCCATTGATGCAATTGTTTTCTCCCAATATTTCTGTTGTTTTTCTCTCCTCTTCTCCTCCTCCTCCATCCTCTTTATCCACTCTCTCTGCTGAGTTAACTGCAGCTCTTGTAGCTCCTTCTTTTTACTTTCCTCCGCATGCTGGATTTTCTCTTCCAGTTCCTTTCGCCTTTTCTCCTCCTCTTCTGCCTTTTGTTTATAGTCCTGCTGTAATTTCATTAGTTCTTCTCTTACATTCTTCTCCATGTCTTCTCTTTCTTTCTCAAACTTCTCTCTTTCCTCATTCTGTTTTTTCTTCCATTCTTCTTCTTTCTTTCTTCTTTCCTCCTCCTCCTGATTTCTCCGTTTCTGATCTTCCTCTCTTTGTTTCTCCCACCGTTGTCTGTTCTCCTCTCTTTCTCTGTGAATCTCAGCCATCCACTCTTGCATCTTTTTCTCATCTTCTTCTCTTCTTTTCTTTATGTCTTCTCTTTGTTTCCTTTCCCTTTCAGTCATCTCTCTTTTTATCTCCAGTTCTTTTTCTTTAAATTCTTTCTCTCTTCTTCTACCTTCTGCTTCTTGTTTTTCTTTTTCTTTCTGAATCTCTACTCTCATTCCCTCCATTTCAGCTTCATATTTGGCTTTCAGTCTTTCTTTCTCTCTTTCTATCTCCTCCTCTTTCTCCTTCAATATTCTCTCCTGTTCATCTTGTAGAGCTTTCTCTACCTGCTGGAACATCTCATTAGTGTAGCAGCTCCCTCCATTCACTGTCACCATGGAGTCGATCTTCTCCAGTAGATCAGTGACCTGGGTGGAGCTGCTTTTATTGCTGTTGTTGAGCACATGATATCTGTTACCAAAGTCAAACAGAAATCTCTTCAAGGTTGGTCCACACTTCTCTATGTACTGTTCAATTGTGTTTCCTTTTAGAAAATCTCCTTTACTGAAGACCACTATAGTGTACATTTTACATTTTTCACCAAATGTATCCTTGATCATATTCACTGTGTCTTGCTCCTCTTGGGTGAAGCGCTGTCCGATGCTCAGCACCAGCAAGAACACATGTGGACCTGGAGCTGCCATGGAGATGCACTTAGTGATCTCTTTAGTGATCTCCACATTAGGAACATTAGTATCAAACAGTCCTGGAGTGTCAACCACAGTGATCTGCCTCCCATGTATGTCAGCTGACTCTTTCTGACACACAACAGTAACTGATCCACCAATATCTTCCATAAACACGTCCTCTTTCCCCAAGATGGTGTTTCCTGTTGCACTCTTCCCAACTCCAGTCTTCCCCAGCAGAACAATCCGCAAGGCCTCAGGGCTTTTTGGTGAACCTGTACAGGGGAGATCATTGAACTTTCCATTATCCCAGATTGGTGCCTTTTGGTTAGACAATCAGACAATTTTAAGACACCTCAAATCACTAAACTGAATCTCTTCAATTTAGCATTCAGTTAAAATTATACCTTTCTTTATGTATTCATCTTCTTAATTTAACTATGTTGCAGTCTTTGATTATTTTGTTTTATTTCTGTTAATAAGCAATAATAGTAATGGACAAAAAGCACTAAATTCCACATTATTTTGTTTGATTTCTATGACAGAACTTCATTGCTTTCCTGTAAAGCACTTTTTATACAGCTACTACCTTAGTGAAATTTAGTGCACTTTAAAGAGATACTGAACAGACCAGACCCGGAGAAAGAAGCAGAGACAGAAGACACAGGTTTCCACATAGAAATGAAACATGGGAGAATCACCCAGCAAAAGATAGAAGAAGCCATCAACAGACCAAGGGAAATAGGGCACCTGGTGAAGACAGAATCACTGCAGACATGCTGAAGGCAAACTCCTCTACGAGCGCCAAGGCACTAGAGGAACTTTTAAACAAAGTGTGGGAGGAAGGGAGAGTCACTGAAACATGAAGGAAAGGCATCGTTGTAAAGCTACTGAAGAAGGGCGACCTGTCAGTGTGTGGCAACTGGAGGGGCATCAACCTACTATCAGCACCAGGGAAGATCTGTAGAATCCTGTTACAGAGGATGAGACAAGCCATCGAGAGGATCCTGAGAGAAGAGCAGGGAGGAGTCAGAAGTGTTAGGGGATGCACAGATCAGATCTTTGTTTTGTGCACCATAGTGGAACAGTCACTTGAATGGAACTCATCACTCTACATCAGTTTCATGAATTTCGAAGAAGCATTTGACAGCATCCACCACCCCTCGCTCTGGAAGATTCTTGGAGCATATATGGATTTCCAACGAAAGTCATCAACGTCCTGAGAGACATGTACGCCAACAACCAGTGCTGTGAGGGACATGATGGGCTACAAAGTGAGTGGTTCCATGTGAAAACTGGACTCAGACAGGGCTGTGTAATCTCGCCTGTACTCTTCCTCATCGTCATCAACTGGGTGATGAGAAAAGCCGGAGACAAGCCAAGGGGGATCGTATGGGGACTGACCGCCCGACTCAAAGACACAGACTTTGCGGACAACGCTGCCCTGCTTTCCCACAGCCAGAAAGACATCCAAGAGAAAACAGACAGGGTCGAAAAGACAGCAAGAAGCAAGGGGCTCAAGATCCACCCTGACAAGACCAAGGTGATGAAACTGAAGAACAAGAACGCAACTAAAACCAACATATGTGGAGTGGAGCTGGAAGAAGTACAGGACTACAAATACCTTGCCAGTCACATCTCAGCCGACAGCAACATCGAAAAGGAGAACCCCACCAGAATTGATCTTGCAGCACGAACCTTCAACAGGAGATCCACCATCCAAATTTTGATGTAAAACGTAAAACGTTTCTTTGCGTTGTCATGTTGAAATAAGATGTCTAGAAAGCCTCCCCCTCCCCACCTACCATGACTGATGCTGGCTTTTGAACTTTATGCTGGTAACAATCTAGATGGTCCTTTTTTCTTTAAAAAACACAACATCCATTATTTCCATTAGCAATAAAAAAAATTGACTTGTCAGACCACAATACATGTTTCCACTGTGCATCAGTCCATGTCAAATGAGTTCAAACCCAGAGAAATCATCAGCCTTTCTGGACGTTGTTGACATATGACTTCCACCATGCATAGTACAGCCTTAACTTGCATTTGTTAATGCAGCAATGGATCAACAACGGTTTGCATTCTCAAGCTCATGTGGTGATCTCCATCACAGAGGTAAGCTAGACGCTGGATGTATATTTCATACACCAGCATCCCCTATTTAATATGTTTTAAAGTGCATCTGTCCCAAGTTTTTGGGAACCTATTGCAGTTCTCAATTTTAGAATAAGCGTAAGAAATAAAGCTGATAAAATTAAACATTACATATCTTGTGTTTGTACTTTTGTGACGCAGTGCAGATTCTAAATAAAAATAGGATGCGGTGATATACAAATCATCTAAACCATATTTTTAAAGGAAAATACTACAAAGACAACATATCAAATGTTGAAATTAAGAAATGTTATTGTTTTTTGAAAAATATATGCACATTTTTAATTTGATGCCAACAACACATTCCAAAAAAGTTGGGATGGGGGCATGTTTTCCACTGTGTTTTATCACCTCTTCTTTTAACAACACTTTGTAAGTGTCTGGGAACCGAGGAGACCAATTGCTGTAGTTATGAAAGTGAAACGTTTTCCCATTCTAACTTGATATAGGATTTTAGCTGCTCAACAGTTCAGGGTCTCATTTGTTGTATTTTTCATTTTATAATGCACCAAATGTTTTCAGTGGGTGACAGGTCTGGACTGCAGGCAGGTCAGTTTAGCACCCAGACTCTTTCAATACAGTGCAATGCTGTTGTAAGACATGCAGAATGTGGTTTCACATTGTCTTGCTCAAATAATCAAGGCCTTCCCTGAAAAAGACGTTGTCTGGATGGCAGCATATGTTGCTAAAACATGTATATGTCATTCAGCATTAATGGTGCCTTCACAGATGTGCACGTCATCCCTGACATGTGCATTAATGCACCCCTATACCATCATGAATACTGGCTTTCAACTGTGCTTTAATAACAAGCTGAGTAGTCTTTAGCCCGGAGGACACAGTGTCCATGATTTCCAAAAAGAAATTCATATGTTGATTTATCCGACCATAGAATACTTTTCTACTTCCCCTCAGATCCTTTTAAATGAGATCAGGCCCAGAGAAGGTGGCAGCACTTCTGCATCTTTCTGCAGTTTCTTCTTTGCTTTTTATAGTTTTAACTTGCATTTGTGGATGCAGCGACAAACTGTTTTCACAGACAATGGTTTTCAAAAGTGATTCTGAGCCCATGCAGTGATTTCCACTACAGAATCATGTCTGTTTTTAATGTAGTGCCACCTGTGGCCGCAAAGATCATGATATTATGTACCGTAGATGATGAAAAGCAAAGGTTTTTTGCTACTATACATTGAGAAATGTTATTCTTGAATTGTTGCACTGTTTGCCTGAGCAGTCTTTGACAGAGTGGTGAACCCCTCCCCATCTTTACTTCTGAAAGACTCAGCCTCTCTGGGATGCTTTTTTATACCCAATCATGTTACTGACCTGTTGCCAATCAACCACCAGGTGTTTTTTTAACATTACACAACTTTACCAGTGTTGTTGATATCAAATTCAAAATGGGCAAGTATTTTTCAAAAAACAATAGATTGTCTCAGTTTCAGCATTTGTGATGTTGTCTTTGTATTATTTTCAATTTAATATAGAGTTTAAATGATTTACACATCATTGCATTTTGTTCTTATTTACATTTTGCACAGCGTCCCGACTTTTTTGGAAATGGGGTTGTATATCAGTACAGGTCAAAGTAGATTTTTAAATTACTGCTCTCTGTTTTTATTTGCATTTTACTTACTATCCCTTTACTATTTTACAGTTACTATTTTTTATTTCAAACATTTTTGGAATTGGGTTTGTATTTGCAGGATAATTCCAAAGGTCATTTTTGTGAACTAATGGCTTCTGCATGATCAACTCTGATATTTCATCCACACTGTTACATTACGAAGCCTGAGATGAACATATAAGGTCATATTACTAGAAGAAGGCAGATCAATAATTTATTCTAAGACAATTAGAAATGTGTATATGTAATATGTAATTATAGTTTTTAAAAGGTTTTTAAAGTGTGCAACAAAATTTATAAAACTGGATATAAATGTGTATCTAGGTACTGATTTTAGGACTGTGAAAAGTGTTTTTGAAAATACATTTGAATCACACCTTAATAACTGAATGAATGCCAAAACCCTAAGTAAACAATCCATGAATTTTAATATAAAATACAATATATACACTTTTATTTAAAACACACATTATTAGTGGACATTATTATAAAAAACAGCTCATATTGTTCTGATTTTCACAAAAATTAGAACTTACCTTGTATTTGACTCCAGTTCCTCCGTTCAAGATCACTGATTTTCTGTTGTAGATTTTGAATGTGTTTTTTGTACTGCAGCTGTGTTGTAACCTGGGCTTCTACATACATGTCCATGGTGTACAGGCTCCCTCTGCTCTCTGTATGAAGCATCTCCAAACATTTAATCAGCTGTGTTGAATCTGTTTTGCTGTCTAAAAATTTGTATCGTCTGCCAAAAGCCTTTATCACTTTCTTAACACTGGCATCCAGTTCTTTGCTCTGAGATTGCCGGCTGATTAGGACTATGGTGTTCTTGTTGAGCCTTGAGCTGAAGATTCTCTGGATCATCTCCATTTCTGCTTTGTCTTCATCAGTGAGGCGGCCTTCAGAAATGACTATGAAAAAGGCATGAACTCCAGGATCACAGAGAGAGACACAGTGGAAAGCCTCTTGCATCACTTCCTCTTCAGAGAGCTGAGTGTTGTAGAGAGCTGGCATCTCCACCAGATCGATCAGACGTCCACACACTTCTCCCTCCTTCCTTACACACACTGAGCTGGACTTCTGTTCCACTTTCTGGTGAGATGTAGAGAATTTTTTACCAAGTAGAAGTTTAGATATTGAGGTCTTTGCTTCATTTTCCCTCCCAAGCAGGACTACGTTTGATCTTGGTTTAGATCCTGAAAGAAAAAAATATAATTTTTGTCAACTCTTAAAAACCTAATAATACAATTTGGGAAAAAATAAGAAAATTTAAACAGGAAATATAGGTAAGTTAATTGTGGCTGAAATCTGCAGATATTACTTTATTAAGACTTGTATTTAGTTCTATTTTAGATCTCAATTGAGCACAGCCTTCAAGCAGCCCATTATTACATGAAAAGATGAGAAACTATACTAGTCCAAAATGGCAGAAATGTTTCCCACAGTACCCACGTCATATCAAACCCACAGTCTATAAAAACACAAGACTTCTGTGATTTCTACAATAATGTACTGTGTTCAAGGCAGAAAGATACTTTCAATGTGCTTAACAGTTTTGTACAGCATCTTGTGTTGAATTCTGTGAAAATATTTACAGTACACATTATACTGGGTCAAAGACCTGATACAGTAACAATATTTTTATAATACATTAACGCATACAGTATTATCAGCCTTACAGTAAAAGTAGGCACTAAAAATACTTTTCTGAAACAGAAGCCCTGTGGGCACAAGTCAGCTGAAGAGACGTTGAGAAGACATCTTCCTCTAAAGTCAGGCAACAATCAAAATGTGGAAGTTTTTTAGATGTTTTTTTGTGATGTCTTTGAAACTGGGCAACACTGCTGCCAGTAAGGTATTGTAAATTAACAGAGTATTCCTTTACTGTGTACAAGCCCAGAAAAAGTAAAGTAGTCAAGTGTGCCCTTTGTCCATTCACAAAGCAGTATTAAAAATATCTTCAGCTTAGATCAGCCAAACTCATTCTAGACCTTCACCAATCAATACTGACCCAACAGTGAAGGGAGTATCATGTAAGAGGGTTCTTTGTCAGGGGCTGGAAAACTTTAAAATATAGATCAAAGAGGCACAGTAGAAAGCCTGATACTCATAATCTGGAGAAACACTGTCCAAAGAACTAAAGAGTTTCATCAAATTTGTGAAGATTACTGGCAAAAATGGTTCCATCTAATACTAAGTTAATCAGTCGATTGGGGACTTTACCCAATCAAGCCCATGTACTACACAGTGCTGTGAAAATTATTTGCCCCAAGTCCAAGTAAACACAAAATGCAGTTTTTAAATGATGACTTCATTACTTGAATGAAAAATGCTGTTCAGCCCTACCTGGCCCTACCTAGTTGTGAAAAACTAACTGCCCCCTTGGCTACAATATCAACTAGTTAACCAAATTCAATTGACTATTGGTTTCAGTTTCACTAACCACACCCAGGCATGATTACTGCCAGACCTGTTGAATCTAAAGATCACTTAAATAGAACCTGTGTGGCAATGTGAAGCAGGCTAGAAGGTCTTCAAAAGCAGCACATAATGCCACATTCTGAAGAGATTTAAATACAGATGCAAAACAAAGTCACTGAAATCTACCCTTCTGGAAAGGGTTACAAAGCTTCAGTGAGCCACAGTGAGAGCCATTAAACACAAATGAAAAAAACCTGTAACAGTGGTGAAAATTTTACCAAGAGCGCATCAACGAATCATTCAGGCAGTCAAAAAAGAACGCAGTCAAACATCTGTAGAACTGCAGGCCTCACTTTCCTCAGTTAAGGTCAATGTACATGATTGCACAATAAGAAAGAAACTAGAAAAAAATGGCATTCATGAGAGAGTTGCGAGGCTCAAACCACTGCTGGCCAAAAAGAACACAAAGGCTCGTCTCGCATTTGCCATGACCCCCAAAACTTTTCCACGATTCTGTGGACTGATGAGTCAAAGATGGAACTTTTTGGAACACATGGATCCAGTTATATTTGGCATAAATCTAACACTGCATTCCACCATATAGACATCATACAAACTGTCGAACATAGTGGTGGGAGTGTGAATGAATTCTGCTCTCTAGCAAAAAATCCTGAAGGAGAATGTCGTCTGTCAGTTTGTGACCTAAAGCTCAAACACATTTGGGTTATGCAGCAGGACAATAATCTGGAAAATACAAGCAAGTCCACCTCTAAATGGCTCAAAAGTCCTGACTTGAGTCCCATCTCAAGACCTTAAACGGTCACTTCATGCTCGAAAACCTTCCAATGTTGTGAAATTAAAACAATTCTGCAAAGCAGAGTGGGCCAAAATTCCTCTACAGTGATGTAAAAGATTCATCGCAAGTTATCGCAATCATTTGATTGCCATTGTTATTGCCAAGTGTGGCACAACCAGTTATTACAATTGGGGAGGTAATTACTGTTTTCACATGGGTGATGTAGGTTTTGAATAAATCTTTAATATCGATAATATTCTATCTTTAATAAACGGAATGATCATTTAAAAGCTGCATTTTGTATTTACTCGGGTTGTCTTTATATTAAAATTTGTTGGATGATCATAAACAAGTGTGACGAATTAGCAAAGCACCGTATAGCACCGTATAACTGCTGCACACAAGGTGTAACTGCAAATTTGACTGGTGAATAGGAAGCCAACTTCAGTACTGTGTAACCGCAGTGCTTTAGATGCCAAGCTTTGTAGATGCTAAGCTTTAAGCTGTCAGTTTTCAAGACAACAAGACTATTTGTATAATTAACATTGTTTCTACAACGTGGACGTTTTTTTAACAACATTTATTGCCAAATAAGAATGATGAACATTCTCCCATATTGTGAAATTTAAACTAACATTATTGTGTGTTTTGAAGTAGCTGCCAACACTGCTGTATGATGTAAACAAAAAACAGCAGGCAAACAAGTTCAGCCACAGGAAATAAAAGCCCTGTAAAAAGTTGAAGTCCAAAGGTATAGTAAATGCACCTGTTTTTAAGTCGAGGGTGAAATGTACACTTGGGAAACACATTTTGAAATAAGATTTGAATGTGGAAAGACTGCAATACTGTTTGACATTAGACATGGGGCTTTACATAGACAGCAGCAATATTAGAGCAGCCTCGCTTACCAAGACTGTGGAAGTCAGACAGATGAACGTTAAGCATACCAAGTAATGACCTAAGGGTGGGGTTATAAGAGAGAAGCAGGTTGGATAAATAAAAACATGCAAGGTTATAGAGCGCAGGTTGTAAATGAGCAAGAGAACCTTGAAATCAATGTGATATTCTGCAGGGTGGCAGTGAAGGTTTTGGAGAACAGGTGTAATGTCATGCCAGGACTGTGTGTTATTGGGAAGGCAAGCAGCAGAATTCTGGGCCAAAAGCTGCTTTTGTAGAAACGAAGAGCAACTGCATGCTAGACAGGACTTGCAGTTGTGTAGGTGTCTGAAGATAAAACGGGAAAAACTGATTGAGCACTGTAGTGGATAAGACAGGATTTAATCCTTGCAACTGTGGAGGCAGAAAAAAAGAGCTTTAAAATAGATCTAACGCAGGTATCAAAAAGTTTTTAATCAAATGTATTCATAATATAAGCAAAGAAAAAGGGGATTTCTCTTTCTGCTCCTCTTAAGCACTGATGAGATCTTCAATCAACATGAAAACAGTCACCCTGCAGTAATTTAAATTTGAGCAGAAGCATTATCTCTGCATTGTGTGTGCCTAGTATGGTAAAATTACCTAGTCTCTCATGTTGTGTTGCATTTTGGTCACATCTATCATGACACTAGGGATGCACTGATACCACTTTTTCTCTTCCGACACTGATAACTGATCTTTAAGCATGGGCACCAACTTGGATTGATAACAGGAGCAAGTTGGTTTCTTTCTTTCTTTAGTTTTTATTCATGTCCCAATCTAATGGAAGTACTCTGAACTAAGAGCAGGAATCATAGATGAGTGTATCTGGCACTTTCCATGAAAATAGTTTGTTTTAGACCTTGAAACTCTTTAAAAATTTACTTTTTTCTTTGGTGTTTTTGACAAAGTATTAATTAAACTAAGTGCTTAACTTGCTGCTTTATCTCTGAAGGGCACTGCATCTTTTGCAGCCCTGTTACCAATTTTTAGGGATGTATAAATGGCATTTAAAAGTCTTTGTTAACTGAATTCATTATTTTCTAGCAACATATACATACATTCATGAAATACGTTTGAATTTCTAAAAAAAAAAGTGTTCTTGTGTTTTCTACATTTCGTGCTTCACAAGATGTTGGTTGGAAACATTCCTTCGAGATTCTGGTCCTTACTGACATGACTGCATCATGCAGTTGCTGCAGATTTTTCAGGTGTACTTTCATGCTGTTAATCTCATGAAATCAGTTTCAGACTTTTGTTTTGGGACATGGTGCATTATCATGCTGGAAGTAACCATTAGAAAATTGGTAAATTGTGACCATGAAGGTATGCACATGGTCAGTGATGATTGACTGGTATTAACAAGTGTGTCAAGAAAATATTCCCCACCCCATTACACCACCTCCTCCAGCCTGTTGACACAAGACAAGTTGGGTCCCTGGATTCATGGTGTTGGCACCAAACTCTGACCCCACTATCCGTGTGCCTCAGCTGAAACTGAGATTTATTAGACCAGGTTATGTTTTTCCAGTCTGCAACTGTCCAGTTTTGGTGAGCCTGTGCCAACTGCAGCCTCTGCTTTCTGTTCTTGGCAGACAGAGATGAAATCCATCCTCTGCTGTTGTAGCCCATCCACCTCAAGGTTTGATGTGTTATGCATTCTGAGATGCTTTTCCACTCACCACAATTGTACAGCTTGGTTATCTGAGTTACAACAGACTTTCTGTCAGCTTGAACCAGTCTGGCCATTCTCTGTTGACCTCTCTCATCAACAAGGCATTTAGATCTGAAGAACTGCCACTGGCTAGGTGTTTTTTCTTTATTGCACCATTCTGAGTAAACGCTAGAGACTGTTGTGTGTGAAAATCCCAGGAGATCAGTGGTTATAGAAATACTAAAACAGCTCTTCAGGCACAATCATGCCACAATCAAAATCAGTGAGATCACATTTTTTCTCCATTCTGATGGTTGATGTGAACATAACCTAATGCTGCTGATCCATAACCGCATAATTTTATGCAATGCATCGCTGCCACATGATTAGCCAATCTTTTAATTTTCAGAGCATTTTTTCTTGTATTAGTAATTTATGTGTCGCTCGTTGCTAAATTGACACTTCTGGTAACATAATCTACAAAATTAACTGTTTTCAGACTAAAAAACCTGTTTTGATTAAAACATTTTATTCAAAGGCTTGTTTCAAGACATTTTCATTTCATATTCATTTAAAATAATACAAGGTTGTGAATTTAGCCTAAAATAAACCAGCCTTCAGGAGTGGTTAGCTTTACACGGTACGCATGTTGCATGCTAACTAGTTTATATATATTTTTTTTTTTTCTAAAAATAAGTTTGGTAACAGGGTTGAATGATCAAGCTTCACCCATGCAGCCAAAACTATTTGTCTGATAGTCATTCTGCAGAAAACAAGATGATGCAACATATTATACTGTACATATTATACTAAAAGGAATGTTTCATTTTTTTATAACAGGGAACATGGTTTGTTAACAGGGCTGCACATAAAATGCAGGACATAAATTAAAATGACTTTTTTCTAATATTAAATAAATTAATAGGTAAAAGATTATTCTTTTAACATTTAATTAAACTACCTAACGTTGTAATTATGTTGTCACTGGAAGATTTTAATTAATATATTTCATAGAGAAATTCAATATCAATGAGCTGGGATAGCCCAAAATCACAATTTTAAAGGTGGAAACAGACATTTTACATGTTTTGTGATCATCTAAATGCTAATTTGAATAATTTTAAGTAAAGTACAGATTCCTTCAGATTAGACAGAAATAAAAAAAAACAAAAAACAACAGTCATTTTGTTACTTTTAAAAAAATACTGGGACATAAACTGAACTCTATTCATGAAAAGTTCATTATCATACACTTTAAAACTAGCTAGATTTGTGGTTATCCAGACAAATCTGGCTAGTTTTAAAGTGCATGATAATGAACTTTTCATGAATAGAGTTCAACCCTACATGGCAGAGAAAAAACCTGTGTGTGAAACATGCTCATGCAGAAAACAGCACAGTTACTGTTGCGACCCTGCAGCTTAAAATCCATACTGTAAAATTCAGTTTCACTGTAGCAGCTGTTTTCAAAGTATTTTACGCAGTTTCACTCCTGTGGCTTTTCTCCAGCTTTGTGCTAGAGTGTTACTCTCCCTTCTTAATATGTGAGGCCCAACAACTCAATCCCCAAAATATGCGCTTACGACAACCTCTTTGTGTTAATTTACTATATAGGTATATAATTACTATTTACTATTATATATAGCAAAAGCCATATTTAACAACTGAAGTATATGTAAAATAGTGATCAACCTATGGTTTGTACATGTAAGCACACAACAGCTTTTCTGGCTTGGCAAAAACAGAGTGGGATGTTGTTTCACATCCAAATTTCAAATCCAGAGTCATTTGTCTCATACACTCATGTTACATCTCCAAAGGTCAGTCATGCTGGGGATTAGCAAAACTTAACATAATTTACACCATCATTAACAACTGTTTTCAGTGGATTTATCATATTGACTGAAACAAAGCACTGCTGCTGTGATGCAGCTGACTGATGGGGATGCACCACAGACAGGGCTAACGGAATGTTTACACTGTTTGTTTGTTGTTAAATGGCATATCTGTTGCATACTGGTGAAGTTAATACTTTAGGGAAACCTCCGACCAGTATACCCACTACTTGAAATACTGGTGTTACAAATTTGCTATTTTTACTGCTGCTTGTCAACCCACACCACCAACATGATGTTAAATTCTATCTACTTGTGAAAATCCATGTAACACTTAGCAGAGCGTGTGCACGTCAGACATTGCTTTGTGGTATCGGACACCGGTATCAGTATCCTCATCACAAATACCCAACACTGTGTTTAAGTGCCAGTATCGGTGCCAATACCAATATGGTGTTAGTACCTGTGCAACGCTACTGTTATCCACAGAGGAAAAGGAGACAGCTATATCACTGATGAGTTGTGTTTTAGGACCATATTAATTAAGTGTTCCATTTGGAACCAATGACACTATTTTGTCTTGTCACTACTGAGCTTCATAAATTTGTTTCAGGGATTTTTGTTTTGTTTTCTTTGTGTTTCACAGGTAGATTTTTAAATAGATTTAGTGCTAAAGAAAATCTAGGTATGAAATGTTGTATAATGTTACCAAGGTGCAGTATATAGATAACAAACAACAAAGGTTCACTTTTGGGGGATCTCATAAGTGACAGTTTAGGTGGATGAAGTATAACCAGAGGGAGTAAAACATTGTTACTTACCACTGAAATGTTTGGTCACACTGGTCATTAGAGTTGTTTTAATTTTCTCATGCTTCTGTTGAGGTAGATCACCTTCAAATCCTTGCTGTTTTGTCCCCTCACGTTCCTCCAGTTCTGTTTGGTCATACTCTTGTAGTTCTTCTGTTTCTTCATGTTCTTGCTCTTTTGTATGATAATGTTCTAAAGCAATTGAAGCCTCCTCAAACTCCTCACAGATAAGGCTCCCTCCATTCTCTTCAACTATCTTTTCTATCATTTCCACAAAAGTTGCACAACTACAATTAATCCACTCTAAATGTCTGTTACTGTATTTTGTGATGACTTTCTGTATGATCTTCTCCTGAACTGGATCTAAACTGGTGCCAGTTTCTTTGTTCTGTGTTGTCAGAACCAGGGTGTATTTATGGGCCTCCTCAGACAGAGAGCTGAGGATGTGATTAATTCGGCTGCTGTCTGTCTCAGTGAAGTCGTTTGGCTGTAGAATCAGCACAACACCATGAGGTCCAGGAGCACACAGAGACATGCACTCTTTAATCCGCACCGTGATCTGATACACAGAGATATCAGGATCAAACAGGTGAGGAGTGTTGATTAGGGTGATGTATCTTCCCTCCACATTTCCTCTGGCTCTCTCACTGTGCTGCTCTACTGAAGGAGGAGGAGCTTCAGTATCAAACACGTCTCTGCTCAGGATGGAGTTTCCCACTCTGCTGATCTCTGAGCTGTTCTTCCCCAGCAAAACAATCCTCAGTTCAGAAACTAGACAATGAAAGAGAAAATATTCAATAATTGCAGTCAATTCAATAATAAGGCAATCAGTTTCAAAATGCAGTTATAATTCATTCTATCAACATTCAGCTTTAAAAAATTAAGAATCAAACATGAAAACAAGCTGTTTCATTTATGGCTTTCTTGTTTAATTTTCTATTAAGGTGAAAAAATACTTGCTAAACTATGTAGAAATTATGCTAGTATTTATTTTACAACAGATGCTTAGGGCTCTAGTTTTGTCACAGTGCAAATGCAGTCTAATGGAATAATGATGGCATATTATGGATTTGGTAGGATGCGAACACCATTCACGCCCATTTTCAATTTTGGTGGTCATAAATGATTGTGAACTAACTACACATTTTCGTAGCTAATAACTGTAGCCGTTACAGTTGTAGGAAATGTAGCTAGTAGCTGTAGTGCCTACAAAGTTTGTGTAGATATAGCGATAATTTTCACTACAATTTTGCTACAGGCTTCAGGCAATCCGCTCAGAATTTGAACCACAGAATGTGGTTGTTAACTGGGCTCGTGGCGATTGTGCAATCCCGACTGAGTCGCGGACAGTTTGAGCAAATGGGCACACACACTGATCACTCCTCGCTAATAGGCTTAGCTCAGGGGTCGCAAACGAAATATTGAAAAGAGCCATTTTGTCCTTTCAACAAAAATCAAACCACCTTGGGAGCCACAATAATTATTTATTTATTTTTTTATCCAATTATCTCCCCAATTTAGTCGTTTCCAATTCCACCCGCTAGTTAGGACTCCCCCAATCACACGATGGTATCAACGCTAGTAGGGTGAAGGCTAACACAGGCTTCCTCCGAGACCTGTGAAACCAACCACCGCTTCTTTTCGAACTGCCGCTCACGCAACGTCACTGGACAGCCGAACGCGCTCGGAGGAAAGCGCCAACCGCCAGATCTGTTACGTCAGCTAACAGACGCCTGCGCTGACTAGCATCGCGTTGAGTGATGGGGGGGAGAAGGAGGGGCCATCCTACCCACCCAGAGAGAGCGAGGCCAATTGTGCTCTCTCGGACTCCCGGCTACGGATGGCTGTAGCGTCACCAGGGATCGAACTGGCGATCTCCTGATGATAGGGCCAACGCTTAGGCGGTTGCGCCACTCGGGAGCCCCCAGCCACAGCAATTTATGTCCGTTTTACCGTCTTGGCTGTGAATATGTCTCAGCATGTGCTGATGTACTAGTAAAGGCTAAAATATAATATAAACAGACTTACTTTCTTCTTTAGCTCAGCTATAGCCACTTCTCTCACATCTCGGGTTTCTTGTAAAATGACTCTCAATGTTCAGCTTTTTACGAGGCTGAAGTCACTTCTCACTCTCCTGCTTCTCAGTTGAATTGTCCCATTCCACCTTAAATTATGCCTGAGATGCCAGATTGTACTGCTGCATCATTTAAGGTGGAACGGGAGAATTTGAAGGAGAAGCTGGAGAACGAGAAACTGATTTCAGCTTTGCGAGTTCTTGCAGATTAAATGTATGAGGAAACCAGCTGACTGTTTATAAATGCAGATAAGTCCATTCTTCTCCAAATGATCAATGTTCATCTACTCTTTGCCATTTCGTTATCTGCATTGCTGTGTGTCCAGCAGTCTGTGCATCAGTCTTCAGTGTTAAATGTTGGTGAATTAGCAGTTATACATTATACAACTCCAGTGTTTAAGACAATTTATTGTGAAAACTGTGTTAGAACTGTGTGTTATAACGATTTTACAGCAAATGTTAAGTAATCTGAGTAATCTCTCCACTGCTGCAGACTGAATGTTAGTCAGTCTGCAGCAGTGGTGAGATTACTCAGCTGCGCAGGCCTGACTCTCACCCCAAACAGAGTCACTGATGAGAATTTTGAGGCTGTTTTGCTGTGTTGCTGTTTAACAAAGTTTCACAAAGGACTCTGAATGTCATGTCTGTACAGATCTTGCTGAAATGTTTAAATTGGAGCAATTTTACTTCAACATTTGACAACGCTTGGCACAAAATTGGTTTGTATTTGGTTATTTTTGTTGATTTTTGTTAGGAAAAAAACTGGAATGATGGCCTGTGGCTTTTTCTTAGTATAAATTTTTGTTGGATATTACACCTTTGGTTACGTAAGTTGGATTGTTGGTTACAATTCAACTTATTTTTTGTATATTTGCAGCTTTTCAATTGTATGTTTCTTTCTGGCAGATGACTAAATGCAGTGTCTTGTTCACACTATCAGTTGAGCTTGTTTGGTGTGTCAGGTGGAGATTCACAAACATTCTAACATCACACTTAGTAAGTTACTTAGTAAGTAGCAAAAAAGTAGTGCACTACTTTTCAAAAAGTAGCTAAAAAGTAGCCACTACTTTTTCTAGAAAAGTAGCTCAAGTAGCTTTGGGAAAGTAGCTACAAAGTAGCTAGATACTAATTTTTCAGTAGCTATCCCAACCCTGTTCTTTGTACACAGTGAAAGCATGTGCACAGGACAATAATATACTGCTGAGGTTGAGCTTTGCATAAACACTGTGTGATGGTAGAAGTTGGTGAGCCAGAAAAGCTTTGGTAAACTTATCAGTAAATGTCATAAACCTTCATCAGTTTTCCAAAAACATGGACATCTTTTCCACTGTAGGGCCAAACAATTAGAGAATACCCATTCCAGGGGCATTTCTACATGGTCACAGTTTGACACAGTTTGTTACGTGCTCAGGGCCACAGTATCGTTTGGTGGGATGACTTAATGATGTAGCTATTCACCACATCCTATGTTATTTCAAAACAAAAAAAAAAAGAACAGATGAGATAAATTCAGTTTGGTTACCCCTTGGTTACACTACATGACTTTTAAAGTCCTAACAGATCATAATAAGACTGGGTATCTCACACCATCTGACTGGTTCCTGTAGATTTATTGGGTGACTGAAATATTGGGGCTCACACACTACAAAACTTCTAAGATCTTGCTGAACTGAACTGAACTCACCCGACTCGCATAAACAGTTGTGCTCTCCCATTACTAGGAGATGCAGATAAACGCGCATGGAACAGCTTGTTACTGCCGTTTTTGCCATCATGTGCATTGACACAGTAAAGAAGCAACAGGTAAACATATTTAACTGAGGGTATTGGATGTAATGATGTGATTAATCTAGTAGTCTTTAGGGTTTTAGATGTACTCTATATGGACAAAAGTATTGGGACAAACCTCTTAGTCACTGAACTCAGGTGTTTCATTCAGTCCCATTGCCACAGGTATATAAAATCAAGCACCTAGCCCTGCAGTCTGACTTTACAAACATTTGTGAAATGAGTCATTCTTAGGTGATTCTCATTGCAACAAGTCTCCTAAATATTCTATGACTAAATGTGAGTGTTATTATTGAAAAGTGGAAACATTTAGGAACCACAGCAACTCAGTCACAAAGTGGCAGACCACGTAAAGTTACAGAGTGGGCTTATGTGGTCAAGCAGCTGCATGCAAGACTTACATCACCAAGTACAAGGCGAAGCATCGGATGGCGTGGTGTAAAGTATGCTGCCACTGGAGTCAGTGGAGCAGTAGAAATGTATTCTGTGGAGTGACGAATCACACTTCTCTATCTGGCAATCTGATGGGTGAATCTGAGTTTGTTCCAGGTGAATGTTACCTGCCTGACTGCATTGTGCCAACTGTAGAGTTTGGTGGAGGAAGGAAAATGCTATGAGGTTGTTTTTCAGGGGTTGGCCTAGACCCCTTACTTCCAGTGAAGGGAAATCCTAATGCTTCAGCATACTAAGATATTATGGACAATTCTATGCTTCCAACTTTGTGGGAACAGTTTGTGGAAGACCATTTTCTGTTCCCGCATGACTGAGCCCCAGTGCACAAAGCAAGGTCCATAAAGCCATGGCTGGATGAGTTTGGTGTGGAAGAACTTGACTGGCCTGCACAGAGCCCTGACCTGAACACCTTTGGGATGAACTAGAATGGAGACTGCGAGCCAGGCCCATTCGTCCAACATCAGTGTCTGACCTCACAAACGCTCTTCTGGATGAACGGACAAAGATTCCCACAGACACACTCCAAAATCTTGCAAAAAGGTTCCCAGAAGAGGGGGAGTTATTATAGCTGCAAAGGGGGGACTAACTCTGTACTAATGCCTATGGATTTAAAATGTGACACCATAAAAGCTTGCATGAGTGTAATGTGTAAGTGTCCCAGTACTTTTGTCCATATAGCATATATGCGCCTGATTCTGCTTATGCCTTAAACTCTGTTCATTTGCGATTTTTCTAGGCTACAGATATAAACAGTGAAGGATCAATTCCAAATAACAGGTGTTTTGCTGATACAAGTGTAGACAATAAAACTCATGTCTAAGGGAGACAAGTCGAACGATCGGTGAGAGAGTAACAGAAAGCTGAAATTTAACCCATTCTAGGGGTGAAATTTGAGAGCACAGAATTGAATGACTTAGTGTTTTGAGGTGTTTATATAGTTGTTAGCCTGTTAGCAGTTACTCAGACACTTTTGTCTATAGTTGTCTAGTATTTCTTGGTTCTGATTTAGTTGCCTGGCAGACGGAAAAAAAAAACCCTGACTTGTCTCACCAGAACTGGTAACGGGAATGGTGTGAGGACTATTTAGCTCTAGATTTAAAAAGAGGCCCTAGACTTCTAAAATATTTTACCTTGATACTAGAATTAAACCACTATAATATTTAGATATCTCATGTGTTTTGAAATTTAAGCAAAGAATATTTTAGACTCCATAAGACTATCTGAATGAGACCTCCTTTCCTATTGACTTCATTTCACCTGATCTTGTAGCCAAGGGGATCCACATGCTACTCAGCTCTGCCCATAAATTATATGAGGCCATGTTCTACAGATCAGACAAAAGCAGAAAAAGCAGACAGAAAGGAAGTTTCACTGTTTGTACGCATCCTAATGATCCACTGGTGTTGCTGTATAACAAACTGAAAGCAGCAGGCTCAAATCAGCAGCACTGTATGATCAGTCTGGTGTGTTAAATGCTTTTTTTAAACCAAACTGTGCCTGCCATCCATAGATAGGACACAGTTTTACACAAGCATTTACAGCTCACCAAAAAGGGCATTGTAAATATTGAGACAAAAACCTGGGAAAAATTAAATATATAAAAAAAATATATATATAACATTACATAGATAGAAGCTACATGTGACATATTATAACGGCAACTTTGCAACTGAGAGGTCTTATAAGGTTGAGGAGGTTGAAGGAAGGTGTTTCTGATCAGGCAGTGTGTCTTGAGCCTTACCAGTATAAGCCAGTGATCGAAGTTGCCGAAGAGTTAATGTAGTGCCAGAAAATGATTAACAGCGAGTGGGAGAGGTGTCAGTGTGGTACAACATTCCCGAAAACCATGACAGCTAGCTTCTAATAATCTGTTTAGCATAGATCCATTTTGAGAAAGGTTGTACGGATAAAAGGTTGACACCGTCAGCAACAATGGCCATTAAACGTTAACATTTCCTGAACCTTTTTGCTTTCCGTAGTTCCTGTGTTGCTTGCTGTTGATTTCTTTTCAGTAAGTGCAGTGCCTGAGGGTTAGATATGTGAAAGGAAACGTGAATTGGATGCAACACTGGTAGCTTTATGTAGACTTTTAGGCTACTTTTACACAGCACGTAAAAGTGGCCCAAATCTGATTTTCTCACCAAATCTGATTTTTTTGTTTAGCTGTTCACACTGTCTTTTAAATGTGACCTGTATGCAACATCAGTCTGAACAGATCAGCTCCTAAACCGACCCACATGCGCAAAAGAGCAATGCTTCACGGGTCGTGCTCGTCCAGAGGTAAACAGTCATGATGGCCTATCGCTCCCAGAGCTTTCAGTCTCGTCTTCGCCAGCATCACAGGAGCGATTATGAAGTTCCAGTGGTTGACAGCTGGACTCATCACCCACAGTGTGTTCGAGTTCGCCGTAAAAAGGGCTCGTTATTCGGCCACGGCCGCTTCTTTGGTTCGAGTCCTCAGATTCTTTAAACTGCTCTCTGACGCTGCAGCCTCAGGCTCCTCCGGCCGCGTTCGGCCGGTTCATTCTAAACCTCTTCAAACATGGAGCGGTTGAGTCTCTTCTAATGTTTTGGTACAGAAACATCAGACTAAATGTTTATGAGTCTCAGCAGTGCGAAATTATGGCAAATGTCGAGTTGGACTGACGTAAAAGTAGCATGAATTCCGATCTGGCTGTTCAGACTGAGTCGCATTGCCGCAGATCGGATATGGATTTCAGTACCACATATGAAAACGTCTCAAATCAGAATTGAAATTGTCAGATTCAATGTGTTTTGTGCTGTTCACACTGCCATACAGATGACTCATCTGTGTCACATTTGAGGAAGAAGATCGGATTTGGGCCACTTTCACTTGCTGTGTAAACGTAGCCCAAGTCCTCACTTAATCAGTCATTCCGGTTACCTACTCATATGTTGAACATTTTCAATAAATGTGCTAATCATAAGATCTTCATTACAAATTAAGCTCAGATTAATTGGGTTATTTACAGTTGGCAAAGACATCTGGCAAATTGCAGCGTTGTGAGGTGGTGCTGGGGGTACTTAGCTCAGCGCATGAGTGTGGTCTCTTGTCTCCTCACTCTAGGCTCCTGTGCTTTCATATTAGTAGGGCGTCATCAGGGGGTAGCAACATTGTTTGATTGATTTGTATACTGTGACATGTCATTGTACTTTGGTACGAAAACAAGTCATCTGCGCCTATAACAGGGTTGAACCAGAGGGGTGCTGCTGAGGCAAAACTGAGCACGATAAAAATTATATTTTTACAGTTTTGCAAGATGTGTTCATATTTCAAGCAAGGCTGATATATTTTTAGTATTACAGAGCAGTGCATTTCAGCTGGTAATGAAAAAAAAAAGTCTTAGGGTGTATTTACTCTTTAAGAATAACATTTAGTGCATTCCCCAACATATACCTTTCTTCTTGATAATTTATTTTAATTGTTTATTTTAGCTAAATGTAAATAAATTTAGCTGCATGAAAGTTTAGGTGCACTCCATTTATCTGTGCCAACCCACTGCTTTTTATGTAGCAGCAAGAGTGGAGAAATCTGTTTATATGTGGTGCTGACGGCACATATCTACTCTTACATTAATCATTGTGTAGCCCCAGCAATTGGAATAAAACTGTCATTGAAACTGCTGTATGTGTCCTTATTATCCTTAAAGTATACTTCAAATTTTAACCGTCTTTGTCAGGGTTTGACATGATTTCCTGGTTTTACTGAAGGATGGATCGGGGTTAGAGGCAGCCTGAGTAATGGCTGATATAATCCCCAGCAAATCAGTGTGTTTTACGGAACGTGCTCACAGAGAGTTTGGTACTCTTTAATCAAGTTCTTCACAGGTGAGAATAACTACAGGTCTTTCTCAGGTGTCACTCTACTGCCTAGTTCAACTATATGGATGAATACTAAGAATCTACAAAAACATTGTATTGTCCTGTTCTAGCAGCCCTGATTCAATTAATCTTTAATGACTGTAATGCATCAAATTTGAACAAGGAAAACAAAATACCATATACAGTAAGAACATCTTAACTATTAAGCAGATGCATCAGACAAATATACTTAAATTATAATACTGTAATATTGAACTGTGATATTGGAATTGTAATTGAGGTACTGTTTACTTTATTCAACAACAGAACATTCAACCTTACAGCAAAGAATGTAACATAGTACCAATACAAATATAGAGTAACTTACAGCTGTGAGGTTCGTCCATACTCGACATACTCCGAGAGCGTGATAGATCTGCACCACAAGAATAAGATACGTTATTTTCTGCTTCGCTAATGCAGTGTAAATCATAATATACAGTATCTACATGTTCGTCTAAATCATTCCACTAAACTCAACAATTAGGGCTGCAACTATAAAATAGGGGTATTTTCAAGTATTCTATCAAATATCATCTTGAAAATGTAAATATTTTGTAAGGATAAGATAAACTCGAGACCAAGATCTGTTCATGATTAAATGAACTAAAAATCAGATTTTTTTTTTTTTTTGGTTTCTTTGTTTTTCTATACCATTGCAGAAGTTCTATTAACCAACCTAATAAATTTGCCTAGAATGAAATTCCTGAAATTTCCCTCAGAAACCAAAGCACTGAATCTGCAGATGCATTTTCATTTTTTCTCTTTTAAACTTTTCAGGAAGCAACTGACCAAAACATTTGAGTGTTTCACAGATTTTGGGAACGTGGCAAAATTGTAACCACAGAAACTTCACATTGCGATTTTAACAAAGTTTAGATATTTGAAATAAATCAGTCTGTAGAACACAAAAATGCATACATATATTTTATATATAAATGTTACATTAATTTACCATTTTAAATATATGTGCCACACCCACACGCACCAGTGCCTTATTTTTGCACTTGTGCTTTGACTTCAAAAACAGGCCCTATGATGTGCTACTCTATGTGACACTAGAAAATGCTTCTGGCTCAGTGTGCAGTTTCCTTAAATCTGGTCCTGGATGGTCAAAAACATTTTATTTCCCTGTTCTAGCAAAATTAATTATTAAATTTATTCAACAATAGAACAATGACCTTAATGCAAACTGTGCAATGTAGTCTCAATGCAGATGCAGAGTAACTTACCTGGGGGAAGTAAATCCTTACTGTTCCTCCTCCGGGTGTGTGACAGATCTGCACCACAAGAATAAGGTACGTTATTTTTTGCTTTGGTAATGCAGTGTGTGATAAAGCATAATGCACAGCGTCTGTCAGTCTAAAAACATTCCACTAAACTCAACAATTAGGGCTGCAACTATCAATAAGCATATTTTCAAATATTTTATCAGAAATTATATCAAATATGTGAACATTCTATAAGATGAAAAGACTCAAGACCAAGACCTGTAATGATTAAATGAAAGAATTAAAATCTGTTTTTATGCTATTTTACTGTAGTTTATTTGTTTTTCTATAACACCGAATACATTATTTTTGTAGTGGGCTTCAATATATTTTTAGGGAAGTTTCTTAATAGACAATATATCATGATATTTTGTGACATCTGCTAGTTGAATCACTCAAAAAATTAATAAAAAAAAGTTTCATAAACTGAGCACAAATGATTTTGTTGAACATTTCACATACTGCAGTTGACTAAATCCAGGAAAACAGGGCTAATTAAGCTCCATCTACAGTTGTTCAACGAAGTACTAACGATATTCAAGATATACTCTGAAAAGCACAATATGACGATGTAATTTATCACGACAATTATAATTACTATGCTATGTTGTTCATCCCACATTCTATTAATCAGCTTCCTCAACTTACATAGACTGAAACCCCAGTATTAACCTTCAAAAACCAAAGATTGGTTTTGCTGATGCATTTTCATTTTTTGCCCTTTTATAATGTTTAGGAATATTGTAACTACAGATTTTACAACATGTTTTGGAAACATTGTAACCATAAAATTTCCGATTGTGATTTTGACAAAGTTAAGATATTTTATAATAGCCTTCAACACACAAAGATGCAATAAAGATGCAATAGAGTAAATTAACTTAAAATGATAAAATATAGTATGAATTTATATGCTACAACCACAATAAGGAAGCCTGCAGAAACCCCATAGTTTCATGTATCCCCTGTCCCAAAACACCAGATTTAGCTCTGAATGGGTTTGATAATTACCTGATGAGCTAAATCAGGTGTGTTTATTTTGGAAATGGTTGAACCTGTGCAGAGCAGGGTGTCCTCTGCACTAGAGTTGGGACCACCTACTATAATGGACTAAATGGGTGATTAAGCTGTGAGCTGTGTGATTAATGCTAAAACATGGAGAACACTGAGGCCTGTGACTGCATTTTCAAACATTCACCCAAAAATCCTTCAAATATGTGTATGTACATATTTTCATTTATATGTCTTTTCTTTCAACACTAAACATTACGAATGCAAGAAAAAATATCACAGATAAAATACTGAAAATACTGAGTTCAAAATTGAATCAAAACAAAATGCAAGAATGTCAATAAGAGACAGCCTTCTGGTCAGTTTAGTGGGATTTAGTCAAACACAGGCATAAATAGAGTGCTTTAAACAATTTCTGCAAATTTATAATAAAGGGGCTCTGAGAGTGCAAGAAGTTCACGTATAAGCACTGTTGAACAACGTGTTCTCCCTTACAGTTACTGTATATAATTCTGCTAATCAATGACACATTATTGATATGGATAATATAATATAATATGATATAATGTAATATAATATAATATAATATAATATAATATAATATTGCCCTGCAATGGACTGGCGACCTGTCCAGGGTGTATCCTGCCTTCCGCCCAATGACAGCTGGGATAGGCTCCAGCACCCCACCGCGACCCAGAAGGATAAGCGGTTTAGATGATGTATGTATGTATGTATGTATGTATGTATAATATAATATGATATAATATAATATAGTGTTATGATGTAATCTTAAATCATATTGTTGAAGTACACTAAAGACCTTGGATTAGAAAGGGTTAAAACATACACCCTTGTCACAACACCGCATCACTACCTGGACTGCCAGAGGCTAAAGAAACTTTGTCTGAACTTGTGTTCAGTCTTCATACTGAGTGAGTTACAGTCAGACTCTTCTGAGCTACATTATAATCAGCGGGTTATTTCTGTAAACTGCTCCGCTCGTTTCTGCTGAGTCGACTGAGGCCTGACTGTGTAAGTCTCTGATCTACACTATTCAGCGCTCCTCAGCTCGTCGCTCCTTTACACTGATATATAAACTCCTCTAACTCTAAACACGCTGCACTGCAGACCTGCTGTACTTTAGTTTAGGAGAAATCAGATTCTTACCATCCCCCGACGACATTTTGTGGCTGCTGTCGAACTGAAAGTCAGGACATTCCTGAGGAAAAAAGAGGGTGGGCTTCCAAACAGAACACGGCCAGAGGGGGAGACTCTCTCACTGCGGCTCGCTCAGCGTAGCTCCATCCTCCAGGGGAAGCGCGCGCCAGTCTCGTCTGGTTTAGTGTCCTAGAACTGTTTCACACTAAAAGTCCTTGTTGGACGGATTTATTGATGTGGTGTCCGGTCAAGGGCGGGTGTGGCTGCAGATTTTCATTCTAATATAGCAGAAACACCCGACTGAGTCCATTTTATCATTGCAGGAACCAAGAGCAGGACAAATCTTAATAAACGTCTTATTAAGTAATTACAGTCACAATGTAATACTCACTCAACCAATGCTAATCATATTTATTTATTTTAGTAACTATTATTATTATTATTATTAGTAGTAGTAGTAGTAGTAGTAGTAGTAGTAGTATTAGTATTATTATTAGTAGTAGTATCCAGAAACAGAAAACTAAGCACTCTACCTGTCTCTACCTACCATTTTGCCTGTCTGTTTTTTTCAGGCAGTTTGTAAAAGGGTTTGTCAATTTTACCATTAGGCAAGGATGCTGGAAAGTATTTTTAGTTGAAAACAATAATAACATTAAAACAATAATAACAGATTATTATTCTATTGTTAATATTAATAGTATCCATATTTATATTAATATGAATACATTGGGTCAAATTTTATTTTGCTGCCTTTTTATAACAATAATAATCCACTTCCTTTTTTGCCCCTTTGTACTCTGTTGCTGTTTTGGTGGTCAGAAATTATAGCACTTACACTGGTGGGTGGAATGGCGAATCGTGGTGTTCTAAAGCCCACTTTGATCCAAAATTGGAAAAAAATCAGATCCCAAAATCCCCTCTAAAGGCAAACACAACGGTTGCAAATGTAGAGGCTGTTAATAGCTTGGATAGTTTAGTGGTTTCCATAGAAATTCACTTTGTAACTGTAGGCTGCTTATAAAGTACCAATTCTAAAAATTAATGAAATATTGAAAGATATTTGTTGATTCCTGTAAGACGCTGTATATACATTGAATATGCACGCCTTATTTTTCCCTGTTTGTAAGCCCTCCAGTGTCTACAAATAATTTTGTTTGATGACTTATTCCCTATAGGAAAGATGCCATCTAACAGAATGTCATCTACATTTGAACCTTTTTAATATGGCTTAGTTTCAGCAAGTTGTATTTAGTTATATATTTGTTTCTGTTACGAAGTGACTTACTGTTTTTTTTTTGTATTGTTTTTCTCCAGTTAGCAGAATATTCTTATCAGCACATCCTTAAACCATCAACAGTCAAAAAGCAGAAATTTTACATAAACACTTAATGTTTTTACTTAGATGTTTCTATACTTTTTATTTCAGATTTTCATTTGTTTTGGTTTACCTGAACTGTAATGACAAAATAAGAAAATGTTGCTGATCAATTCAGCCTGCTACTCCACAGATGCTACAGCATTTTTCATTTTAAAATGGTAAGCAGATTAAGGCTTAAGGTTTTAAATAGTACTCAGTTTATCTGCATGGAGCTGCTTAACAGCACATTCAGAGGTTAAATTCATCCAAACCAGTGAAGTAACAGAATGCTGGGAATCAGCTGACTGCAAAAGCCAGGTAAAAGCTCAATAAACCAGCTGTACTAACCATACATTTTCATTAATCCATGTTTCCATCCATGTGTTTACCCTGAAACTGCTTACTATTTCACTCTGTATATGATGTATTTTAAACAATATAATTTGTCAGCATTTAGCCAAACTCCTGTCACAACGGTTGACAATCGAGGTTACTAGTGATACTAGTGGTCATTTACGAATCGGCTCTGGCAGAGTGTATTTACACATTTAAAACCCTAAAAGATTTCTAATATGGACAGCATCACAGACTAACATCTGTCATTCACAGAATTTCTTGTATTTTCATGGTAAAGATGTGCATGCCAGACAGTTTGGCAGAGATATAATAATATAATACAATAATATTATAAGAAATATAATACACATAACCAGATTAAGAACTCAAAATCCCAAATCTCCACCTTCAACATGTGATACAACCATAAACTGGACTACATCTGTTTGTCCTTTAATGAGCGCCATTGAGAACTGAGGATATCACATTATTTCATATTACAAAAGCAAATCTTACCTAAATGCAAGATTTTTTTAGGAATCCTATCTTACAGCATCTTATTTTATCTCAAGTTAGGAAAATCTTAACATACCCAATTGAAATTGACCATCAACTACCACGTCTGTTATACATCAACCAAAGACGTGCACAGCTGAAACATAAACGTTAGTTAAAGCTGCCCATATCCATGTAAAAATAGTCAAAACAAAATTAAAGCATGATAAACTGGAAGCTGTGAATATGGTGAGCGCCCCCTGCTGTGTCTCAGAGCATTGCAGCAAAGTGGTTTCAGTTTCCATTTCCCAAATGCTTTAGTAGACCACAATAAGGTTAATCCTAATAGCCACATGTTCTGCTCCGTCTCCTTGTTATTCATCACCATCATTGTAATATTTTACTTGATGAGTTTTCATCAACACTAACACAAGAAGGTAATACGAGGGGATGGTGGAAATCTTGTCTGAGCAATCCACTTACCTCCGAGAAGAAAAGCCTGGTCAGAGTCCAGATTAAAACCCCATAGAGAACATTTTGTCTCATGCTAAACACAAACTAGCTTGGCAATGTTTTTCATCTGTGTGAATGCTGAGCAATTCTGGCTTTTCTCTCTGTAAGTCTGTCTGCAAGTTTATCCACAAGAATTCAACATTCATAGAAATAAAAGAGAAAAGCTATCCCATACTAAGTTCCCATACTTTATCTATTTGTTTAATTCTTGATAATATACTATATGATAATGACTAATGATTTGTTGTTAAGACCGTTGAAATCTTGATGTTTTGCAGTTATAAGCTTGGCCCTTTTTTTTAATGGGTAGGTACACCATTGACTTCTCTAATACGACGTTGGACTGTAAAACACCACAAAAGTAAAAAGAGTTGAAAAACAATGCCATGCAAGTTTGTGTTTAATGTGAGAACAAATATTCTCTATAGGGCTTAAATCTGAAATCTGGAGGTTAAAACTGTCAATGTAAAAAAAAAACTGCATAGGAGTGTAGAGTTTTAGCAGAAAATACGCATCATTTATTGTAGGCATAATTTGTTGAAGCATAAGTTCAAGTGTACTTCACTGAAGCACAGTTTTAACACAAAAATAAATGTGAAAGAATAACTGTAAAAGAATTATTGAATATTATGAAAGAATCATTTTATAAAATAAGTATAGTCCACTGCAAACAATTTATTGAAGCACTGTTTCAACACAAAATTAATACATTTTAAGCATACTTTATCAACAGTTTTAACACAGACACAATACATGCTCTTATGACACACACACACACACACACACACACACATACACAGTATAGTTTTATCATGAAGTGAAAGCAATATATTTTATATTTCAATATATTTCATTGACGTATTCTTTTTCAAAGTGCACTAAGGTATAAATTCAATAGGTTAAAGTTAAGTATAAAGTAAAACAACTGAGCATCCCACATATAGTTTAAGTACACTACTATCATATTAAAGTATTGCCTTTTCACAAGAGTATTCACAGGCCAAGTCCTTCACTTCATACAGAACACTGGATAATTTTACAATTTTATCTGGTGGTAAAACAAAAAAAAAAAGGTTTCTTCAACTCAAAAGGGAAAGGGCTTTAGCATGGGGATAACATCACACACACACAGACACCCACACACACATTCATTTTAATTAAGAGAACCACAAAGAACTCTGGGTAACCCTCAGTGTTACAGTGAAACAGATTACACAAGGGATAATCTCCATTATTAAGAATTACAGATAAAACATATTAATTACAATTACATGTCCATTTTCTAGTTTCAGCATTTCCCCCATATCACTGTCATGTTTTATAAAACAAACTTATGTAAAAAAAATAAATAAATAATTCAATATTTATCAATATTTACAATGATACCGATGGATGAGTTTTACAAAGGAGTTCTATGTGTGGGAATAAAATGGTCATAAACAGCAATGGGGTTTCTAGAGACCTGAGGCCATATTACAGAAACTTCCTCTCTTTCTGTCATAGGTTAAGATCTGACAGGTCAAGATAAGATTTTTCACAAATTTGAATTACAGAAGCAAATCTTATCTTAATTTAGGAATCTTATCTTACAGCATCTTAACTCAAGTTAGTAAATCTTAACCTACTCGACTCAAAGTCAATCAACTGTCATGTCAAGTTAGCTAGCCAGACAGCTAATGTTAGCTACCAATTAGCTACTGATGTAAAAAAGGTCAAACAGAAGTGAAGCGCAATAAACTATGAGTATTGTGACAGCGCTTTGTGCAATGCCGCTCTCCAGTTTCAGCTTCCCAAATGCTTTAGCCAACCACGCTAACATTATTCCTCCTAATTAACAGACACATGTTCAGCTCTGTCTCCTCATTATTCACCATAATCACTGTGATATTTTATCTGATGAGTTTTCATCAACATAACACACAAAGGTAATAAGAGGGGATGGTGGAGATGCCTGCAGCATATGGGATTTAAAAAATGCTGTTAAATAAGTGCCTCAAAGTTAGGACAGAATTTATGAAATTCTGTCTAGTTAGAATGTTTCTGTAATACTGTTTTCTTATCCGGAGTTAATGGATAAGATTATAAACTTAAGAACTGATGTTCTGTAATAGTTTCTGTCCTAAACTCAGTCCTAACTGATGTTGTCATGGTGACTAAAGAGACAAGATTTCAGACCTAGAAGTTTCTGTAGTACAGCCCCAAGAGCAATGAAAAAAAATGGATTGATTAATTATATGTGTTGTTTATTTTATATGATTTTTTGGTTTTTTATGATTTTTACGTTTTTTTATGTAGGGTGCCAACAATTTATGGAGCTGACTGTAGATACTACAGGCCACACAGATACCCCAAAAAAATGATCTTCTTGAATCCTGATTACATAAATATGAGAGGTAATACAATGATGATAATACTTTATGATTACAATTATATGACTCAATGATTAGTAAAACAGAGGTGGATGATATCACAAAAAATTTAGTTTTCATGATTTGTGATGTCATAATTAATATTTTTTTCTGAATCTGATGTCGTTTTTATAATTATTATTAAAAACATTTTTTGCTGCAGTTTTCAAATTAAACCTTATTTCTAATCAACACGCAGTTGGGAACTGATTTTAAAATACTGTAAATACAGAAAAGCATATTGTGACATTGTTACAAAATTCTCATGATAACAATAAATACTGTCAGTCATATTACTCAGCCTGAGTAAAACATGTAAAGCAGTGCACAGAACTGACACATCATTAACACATAAAAACATTCCCATAAATGAGAAATAATTATTTGATAATGGAGAAAAAAGTCTAATAGTCTGTCCACTATTGATGTAGTGATCTCAGTAGTGGTTAAGTAGTGTCATATGTTTAGTGATGTCCAGGAATAGAAACAAGACGTGAATTGCTCATCTATGATTTTTAACAGTAATACATAACAATTAAGAATGGTTAAGGCTTTTACAAACTAAACATGATTTATTTGGACAACAGTAAATTAATTAGAGCATGTGTTTGACCTCCTGATTTTTCAGATGGTAAAAATGCAACATGATATTCTTGGCCCTCTGTTCATTCTTGTGAACTTTCACTGGTGACATCATTGCTGTGACCAATAGGCCCTTTTCACAAGAAACAGAAATGTAAACAGTGACTAAAATAAAATCTTCTATTGCCATACGGTCCATTATTACCCTCAGAAATACTGCTGTTCATTTCACTTTAGCTCACCATGGAAAAGTATGTCACTTCATCTATGTCATAATTGCCAAGACTGAAATTGAAGGATGTGTCCAGAATTGTTAAAGAACACCAAACACACAATGTGTGTAAGAGTCAAAGCTGAATAAAGGATATAAACTCTTTGTAAAAGAATTCCTTCACATCTATTAAAGTACGATAACATCAGCTATCGTCTACAGAGTGAGTAAACAATGGTGAAAATAGACTATCACCAAAATGCTGGATTAGCCATGTTAGCTGAAGATGTTGAAACCATCTGCTAACAATAAAGTAGTAGGCAAAAAGGTAAACATATGCACGCATACTAGAAGGGGACAGGCCTCGCAGTCACGGTCTGTAACACCAATGTATATGTTTTCCAACACCACTGGCTCCAGTGACAAACATTCATCTTATGTGTAAGCACTGAAAGTTTAGTGAAGTGATGAAGCTCTTCCTGCTACTTTTTCAAAATGCAAAGTAGCCCAATGTCACCACTTGCTCTATCTGTGAGGAGCATCACATATTTGCAGTTGGAGACATTCACCTCATTAGCTTTGTGCTGCTCTCTAAAATCAGCTCAAACTGAGTTACGGAGATCCGGGCTATGAATGAGAGATCATAATTCAAAGTTTCAGCTCCTGAATGAGGTGTAGAAAGTGTCCGTACTCCTTTCACTTTTCCAAAGTAGAATCGGTATTCCGAACACCCTTTCATATCAGATTTTCACTCATTTTTCGCTACTTCATCTTTATTTGTTCCACAAACAAAATTAACAAATCGATGCAAACCTCTTTCTGCCTCTACCTCTGCACAGCTGTCTGCAAATCCTTTGTCTCTCGCCTCTTTTACCTTTTCATCAAGTTTGGCATGAAACTTCTCCTCTGCCTGTCTTCTTGCTGTTTGTTCAGTCTGTGTTTTAAGGTACTCCATCTCTTTGGTGTGAATTTCTATAATTAATTCAAGGTTTCTCCTTTCAATTTCATTCCACATTGTCTCTACCTCTTCTCTCTCTTTTCTAAACGTCTCCATCTGCGTCAGGAATTGTTCTTGTTCCTTTCTGAGTTGTTCATCCTCTTCTTTTCTTTCTTTCTCCTCTTTCTCTCTTTGTGCTTCCAGTTGTTCCTTCATCTGTCTTATTTTTTCATTTGCCTCATTTTCTATTCTTTTCCTCTCTTGTTCTTCTTTCTCTTTTCTCTCCTTTTCTTTTAAATCTCTCTCCTCCTTTCCTTTTTGCTTTTCCCATTCATAATGTTTTTGCTTTCTAGCCTGCTGTAAATACCAGGCTTCCTCCATTGATGCAATTGTTTTCTCCCAATGTTTCAGTTGTTTTTCTCTCCTCTTCTCCTCCTCCTCCATCCTCTTTATCCACTCTCTCTGCTGAGTTAACTGCAGCTCTTGTAGCGCCTTCTTTTCACTTTCCCCTGCATGCTGGATTTTCTCTTCCAGCTCCTTTTGTCTTTTCTCCTCCTCTGCTGCCTTCTGTATATACTCCAGCTGTAATTTCATTAGTTCTTCTCTTATATTCTTCTCCATGTCTTCTCTTTCTTTCTCAAACTTCTCTCTTTCCTCTTTCTGTTTCTTCTTCCATTCTTCTTCTTTCTTTCTTCTTTCCTCCTCCTCCTGATCTCTCTGTCTCTGATCTTCCTCTCTTTGTTTCTCCCACCGTTTTCTGTTCTCCTCTCTTTCTCTGTTTATCTCAGCCATCCACTCTTGCATCTTCTTCTCATCTTCCTCTCTTCTTTTCTTCATGTCTTCTCTTTGTAACCTTTCCCTTTCGGTCATCTCATTTTTTAACTGCAGCTCTTTTTGTCTTCTTGCTTCTTGTCTTTCTTTCTGTATCTCTATTCCCTCTCCTTTGCTATTGTCTGCTGTTGTCATTTCAGCTTCATGTTTAGCTTTCAGTTTTTCTTTCTCTCTTTCTATCTCAATCTCTTTCTCCTTCAGTATTCTCTGCTGTTGTGTTAGTATTTCTTTCTCTACTTGCTGGAACATCTCGTTAGTGTAGCAGCTCCCTCCATTCACTGTCACCATGGAGTCGATCTTCTCTAGTAGATCAGTGACCTGGGTGGAGCAGCTTTTATTGCTGTTGTTGAGCACATGATATCTGTTACCAAAGTCAAACAGAAATCTCTTCAAGGTTGGTCCACACTTCTCTATGTACTGTTCAACTGTGTTTCCTTTTAGCAAATCTCCTTTACTGAAGACCACTATAGTGTACATTTTGTATTTCTCACCAAATGTATCTCTGATCATATTCACTGTGTCTTGCTCCTCTTGTCTAAAGCGCTGTCCGATGCTCAGCACCAGCAGGAACACATGTGGACCTGGAGCTGCCATGAAGATGCACTTAGTGATCTCTTTAGTGACCTCCACATTAGGAACATTTGTATCAAACAGTCCTGGAGTGTCAATCACAGTGATTTGCCTTCCATTTATGTCAGCTGACTCTTTCTGACACACAGCTGTAACTGATCCACCAATATCTTCCATAAACACATCCTCTTTCCCCAAGATGGTGTTTCCTGTCGCACTCTTCCCAACTCCAGTCTTCCCCAGCAGAACAATCCGCAAGGCCTCAGGGCTTTTTGATGAACCTGTACAGGGGAGATCATTGAACTTTCCATTATCCCAGATTGGTGCCCTTTGATTAGGCAGTAAAGCTTGGTATATATTTTTAAGACATACAATTTCTTTTTATTTAGCTTTTAAGCTGAAATTCTACCCTTCTTTTTGTATCTTCTTGATATTATGGTCTTAGTTTATTTTATCAATAATTATTTTATTTCTGTAAATGGGCAGTAACAGAAATGGATGAAAATTAACTAAATTCAACATTTAACCAGGCCTGTCTCTCCATCCCCATAGCCCTACCAATGAACCAGCTCTGTCCGCCAATCCCTATCCCGTTACCAATAAACCAGCCCTGTCTCCTTACCCCATACCTCCACTAGTGAACCAACCCTGTCTGCCCATCCCTATACCCCTACCAATAAACCAATCCTGTCACCTTATTTCAATACCCCTACAAATGAACCAGCTGTCTCCCCATCCCCATATCCCTACCAATTAACCAGCCGTGTCTTCCCATCATCCCCATAGCCCTAACAATGAACCTGCCCTGTCTGCCCATCCTCATACCCCTACCAATGAACCAGCCCTGTCTTCCCATCAACACCATAGCCCTACCAATGTACCAGCCCCTTCCCATCCCTATATCCCTACCAACAAAGCAACCTTGTCTCCTTATCCCCACAGCCCTACCAATGAACCAGACCTGCTTCCCCATCATGCCCATACCCCTACTAATGAACCAGCCCTGTCTCCTTATCGCCATACCCCTACCAATGCAAGAGCCCTGTCTCTTTATCCCCATACCCCTACCAATGAACCAGCCCTCTCTCCCCATCATACCCTTACCCCTACCAATGAACCAACCCTGTCTCCCCATCATCCCCATACCCCTACAAATGACCCAGCCCTGTCTTCCCATCCCTATACCTCTACCAATGAACCAGCCCTGTCTCTCCTTCCCCATACCCCTACCAATGAACTAGCGCTGTCTCCCCATCCCCATATCCCTATCAATAAACCAGCCCCATCTCCTTATCTCCATACCCCTACCAGTGAACTAGCCCTGTCTACTTATCCCTATAGCCCTACCAAAGAACCAGACCTGCCTCCCCATGATCCCCATATCCCTACCAGTGAACCAGCCCTCTCTCCCCATCAACATATTTCTATCAGTAAACCAACCTTGTCTCCTTATCCCCATACCCCTACCAATGAACCAGCCCTGTCTGCTCATCCCTATACCAATGAACCAGCTCTGTCCACCCATCCCCATCCCCCTACCAATGAACCAGTCATGTCTCCATCATCCCCCTTAGCCCTAACAATGAACCAGTCCTGTCTCCCCATCCCCGTATCCCTATTCCTACCAATACACCAACCCTGTCTCCTTATACCCATACCCCTACCAATGAACAAGCCCTGTCTGCCTATCCCTATACCAATAACCCAGCTCTGTCCACCCATCACTATCCCCCTACTGATGAACCAGCCCTGGTCTCCTTATCCCTGCACCCTTACCGATGAACCAGCCCTGCTCCCTTACCTCAAATCAGTGAACCAGCCCTGTCTCCCCATCCCCATGCACCTACCAATGAACCAGCCCTGTCTCCTTATCCCCACACCCCTACCAATGAACCAGTTGTTCAGTTTTTATAACCAAGCATAATGCATCCCCCGTTTAACATGTTTTTTGAACATTTCACAATGTTCCTAGTTTTAAACTGTCTCTGTTTAAATTTTTTTGGAACATGTTGCAGGCATCAAATAAAGAATGAATATACGTTTACAGAAAGCAATAAAATTGATAAGGTAAAACATCACATATCTTGTACTGTTTTCATTCAAATACAGTTCAAAGTAGACTTTTAAATAACTGCATTCTGTTTTTATTTGCATTTCACCTACTCTCCCAGCTGTTTTTCAAATTGGGTTTGTATTTGCAGGGTAATTCCAAGATTATTTTTCTTTTTTGTAAACTAATGGCTTCGGCATAATCAACCCTGATACTGTCATCCATCCTGTTACCTGTCATCTGAGATGAACATATAAGGTCATTACTAGGAGAAGGCAAATCAATGATTTATTCTAAAACAATAAGTAAATAATCTATGTAATTGCAGTTTATTCAAAGGTGTTTAAGGTGTGCAACAAAATTTGTGATAAGGTTAGCCAAGGTTTAGTTAAGTTTATGTAGCTACTGACTTTAATTAGCAGCAATAATTTGTAAGAATGTGAAAAGAGTTTTTGAAAATACACTGGAATCACACTTTAATAACTGAATGAATGACAAAACACTTCATAAAATTTGAATATGAATTATATGTATATATTAATTTAGAATAATTAACATTATAATAGAAAAACAACTATTTCTTTTTTCTTTCTTTTGTTATTGATCTATTATCATCAAACAATTCAGCTATAGACTACATACTATAATGACTATTACATATAAAAGTAAAACATCTTACCTTGTGTTTGACTTGAGTTCATCAGTGTAAGATCACTGATTTTCTGTCGTAGATTTTCAATCTCTCTTTTGTATTTCAGCTGTGTTTCAATCTGGGCATCTACATACATGTCCAGGGTGTACAGGCACCCTCTGTTCTCTGTATGAAGTACCTTCAAACATTTAATTAGCTGTGTTGCATTTGTTCTGCCATCAACAAATTTGTATCGTCTGCCAAAATCCTTTATTACTGTCTTAACATCGTCATCTAGTTCTTTGCTCCGAGATTGCCGGCTGATCAGGACTATAGTGTTCTTGTTAAGTCTTGAGCTGAAGATTCTCTGGATCATCTCCATTTCTCCTTTGTCTTCATCAGTGAGGCGGCCTTCAGAAATAACTATGAAAAAGGCATGAACTCCAGGATCACAGACAGAGACACAGTGGAAAGTCTTCTGCATCACTTCCTCCTCTGAGAGCTGAGTGTTGTAGAGAGCTGGCATCTCCACAAGACTGATCAGATGTCCACACACTTCTCCCTCCCTCCTCACACACACTGAGCTAGACTTGAGCCGGTTTACTCTCTGGTGAGATGTTGAGATCTTTTTACCAAGTAGAAGTTTAGATATTGAAGTCTTTGCTTTGTGTTCCCTCCCAAGCAGGACTACATTTGATCTTTGTTTAGATGCTAAAAGAAAAAAAAATATATATAAGTTTTTATCAACGTCTAAAAAACTAATAATAACATTTGAAAACCAATATGATGATTTAAACTGAAAATACAGGCAAGTTCATTGTGGCTGAAATCTAACGAGTCTGCAGATATTGCTTTATTAAAAGTTGTTTTTAGACGTCAGTTTAGCACAAACTTAAAGTAGCCAATCATTACATGAAAAGGCGAAACCTATATTTGCCCACAATGGTAGAAATGCCCCAGTTTAAAAACTGCAGCCTTGTCACAATTTACATTACATAATGTTTTCCACAGTACCAACCTGGTGTTAAACCCATATTATGTAAAAAAAAAAATCTAGAATAATGTACTGTGTGCAAGGCAGAAAGATATTTAAATGACCTAAACAGTTTTGTACAGCATCTTGTGTTGTATTCTGTGAAAACATTTACAGTACAGTACAGACTATATTGGGTCAAAGACTTGATACAGTAACAATATTTTTATAATAAATTAAAATATACTGTATAATCAGCCTCACTGTAGAAGTAGGCACCACAAATACTTTTCTAAAGCAGCAACCCTGTCAGGTGAAAAAACGTTGAGAAGACATCTTTCTCTGATGTCAGCCAACCGTCAATATGTGGTTGAGTGTAGAAATATTGTAGAAGTATTTTTTTGTGAAGTCTGTGCAACTGGGCAACTCTGCTTCCAGTAAACTACTGTAAGTGTTCTTTTACAGTGTACCAACTCAGTAAAAGTGGTCAGTTGTGCCCTTTGCCCTTTCACAAAGCAGCAATGGAAATGTTTTTGTCTTAGATCAGCCAAACTTATTCTAGAGCATCATAAGTCAATATCATTCCAACAGTGAAGCATGATGTTGGGAGCATCTTGTAATAGAGTATCTCTATCTCGGGGGGCTGGAAAGCCTGAAAATAAAGGCCAAATGAAAACTTCTGCCAAGGATTGCCTGTTCCAGATTTAAAAATAGGGGGGAATAATTTTCAATGGGACAGTGATTGAAAGCTTGAGGCCAGTGCTAACCTGGAGTAGCTTAGGAAAAATAAAGTTCATGAGTGGCACAGTAAAAGCCCTGAAACTCTTTGAGAATCTTGTGAAACACTGTGCAATGAACTAAAGAGCTTTATCAAATTTGTGAAAAAATGGTTCCACATAATACTGAGTTAATGTGTTCATTGTTTATAAGAAACATTACCCATTTAAGCCAACCTGCTCATGTATTGTACATATGAAAAAGATCATGCGGATAAATGCAGTCAAAATGTACAGTGGATTTTTTTTAATGATTATAAATCTAATTACAAAAAAGTTGGGTCAGTATGTGAAATCATGGGCATCACTGGCCAGTTTTAGGGAGGCTTCAGCCTAAATGTTACTTAGCCCTGCAATATGTAATGATCTGGGGGGATGATCTCTAATGCAGCACTACCACTGCTGTGCTTCCAGAGATTACTAATGTAACGTGATAAGCAGAACCCCCAGCTCAGCCAATCATAACAGAGCCAATCATTACAGACCTTATAAGTTTTATGACAAATATACTTTATTAATTCTTGTGTGTTTGGATACTTATGGATGTACCAATCAATAAAAAAGATGTTTTGATCAATAAAATATTGCCTGCTTCTTATTTTAAAAATGTGTAGGCTAATCAGGGACACATATGGGCTTAAAGGTTACACATGTCTTATAAGCTCACTCTGAAATGTTTAATTTTACTTTAAAAATAATGTAATATAACAGGATATTCCACAAGAGTTCAGATGAGAGATTATTCTCCAGCATTTCAGATATCCATAAGGTAATATGCAAAAAGTAGATCTTTTTGATCTTAATTGGGTCACTTCTAGTATGTGTTCTGTGAAATCTTCACTAAGGGAAAACTACCTGCAGCTAAATCTTGATGGAAACTGTGAAAACATATACTTCTGGACTGTAGCTGGACAAATATTCTTATATATCATTTAATTACTTAATTCATCTAGAGTACCTGCACATGATTTTCACAGTATATATGCAAACTATATGGGGAAAACCACAGTAAAGATTGACCATTATTGTCTTCAAAAACTCAAATTAGCATAACAGCATTTCCTCACATACAAATATATGATAATATCTATAAGGATATTATAAAGATAATGACATAAATTTGTAGAATGTGCCTTTTGTTTTGTTTGCCAATTTCTTTCTCAGTGTTCCAGGCCAAGCAACAGCATAACTTTCCCTGTCTAATAGAACTAAAGCAATTCCTAAACAGAAAAAATGCTGTGGTGTTTACTGCTGCTTCTGAACACAAATAAGACTAATGGATTTTTTAATGTATTTCTGCAGCTACGCTCTGCAATGTTAAAATTATTTTTGAACATTTTACATTTTTCCTTACATCCAGGGCAGCACAACCTTGCTTGGCAATCAGTGTTCATAGTTTGTGTTTCATTATGACATGATTTACTGTTATATGCAAAAACAACAAACCGGAAATACTTGATTCTAAACTTTGGGAATTAAGCTGTTCTTTGTAAAATATAAACAATTTACTTTCACTTGATGAAATAAGCATTGTCGTCTCACAACTACAGACATAATGTGTGTATACAGCTGCATAGTGTTCATCCATATCTTTGAGTACTTGTACAAAATTCCACCAACACCTATAGTGAGTGATTTAAGATAGCAAAACTAGATGTCTGTTCTAAAGCAAAAGACAAGCAAACTTTGAAAAAGAAAAAGAAAAAAAAACCAAAACAAAACATCTGACCTAAACTTCACAATGACACAACTAACCAACTATTGATTATTGAGAAACTGCTAAATTGTTCTATCTAGCTACAAAGCACAGCCACAGGAAGCTAATAATTATGACGTATTCGGGGCAAGCAAGCTACGCTAGTGGAAGGGCAGTACAGTCATGTTTCTGTTCTGTCCTACACACGCAAACATACCTAAGGGGATAGAATCCCTGTTTTCAAACCATTTAAACCATCCCCTGAAATTTAAACCAGTTATAAGGCCTTCTTATTTTCAATAAATCAGAAGCATTTCTTTTTATTATGAATGGTCTGATTATGCAGACTTAAAATGCACCCATATCATCCGGTTGTTCAAACATACCTTTGCCCCACTAATCTGAAATGCTATAGCTACCTTTCTGACATAGCTAAAACCTAATCTGATATGCTGTATGCTACTTTAGGCAAACTATGCTACAACAAAACATCTTGAGTTAACATTGGTGAAACTCAACCCTATGTGTTTGAAGAGACTACAAGTGCTAGCTTAGCTATCAGGCTTCAGTAGACCAAAGCTGGCTGTGGTACAAGTGTTAGATTAGCCAGCATGCAGTGGCGTGCACAGACTTTGGTGAGGGCAGCGCTGAGGTGTTTGAAAAGGGATAGAAAGTTATTGTAATACTGAGTTTTCTGCATGCATATCTGATTTTAATTATACAATGGTAATCATATTTAGCTCATCAGAAAATATTATTATTATTATTATTATTATTATTATTATTAACAATCTTCATATTTTTGCAGCCAGCTTGTAAAACGGGTTGGCAACTTTTCATTTCTTTTTCTGGTTTCATTTTCTACAACGACTACGGTCACCACAACTAATCTGAAGTTCTTCTTCCTCTCAATTTTTATTTGAATTTTCAGTTACTTTTACATTTACAGCATTTAGCAGACACTCTGATCCAGAGTGACATACAAAAGGTGCTTTGTTGTCTACTCAGAGACAGTATCTTTGCTAGTTACAAACAGGTTAGAGACATACTGCAGCAGTTAGTTCCTGGTGCCTGTACAGTCACCAGAATGTAACAGCTATAGTCTTGCACAAATTGAAAATAAACAAAATTTAAGCTAAAGTTACAGTGAGTTGTCGCCGACTCTGCTGTACGTGCTGTACAAAAACAGCAGACAAAAAAGTTCAGGCACAGAAACAGCAGCACTGTAAAAAAGCTCAAAACCAAAAGTATAGTAAGTACCACTGTTTTTCAAAGTTGGTTTGTACACTTGGGAAATAAGATTTTGAAATAAGATTTGAATGTGGGAAGACTTTGATACTGTCTGACATTCAGACAGAGAGATTTACATCATCAGCAATTTTAGAGCAGACTCGCTTACCAAGACTGGGGAAGTCGAATAGACGAATGTTAAGAAGACCAACTGAGGATGACCTGAGAGTGGGGTTATAAGAAAGAAGCAGGTTAGATAAATAAGAACATGCAAGGTTACTGAGGGGATTGAAAACAAGCGAGAGAACCGCAAAATTAGTGCGATATTCTGCAGGGAGGCAGTGGAGGTTTTGGAGAACAGGTGTAATGTCATGCCAAAACTGTGTATTATTGGGCAGATAAGCAGACAAATTTTACAGGTCTTACAGTTGTGGAAGTGTCGATGAAAGGATAAAAACTGATTGAGCAGGGGACTCAGTTCTCTTTCTACTCCTTTTTAGCACTGATAAGCTCTCAGGAAACAACTCATTTAGTGTGTGTGTGTGTGTGTGTGTCCATATAGTCCAAAAGTTAGTATACTAACTTTTAGGTAAGCTCTGGAGTGACAGTTTAGGGGGATGAAGCAGCCAGAAGAGAGTAATAAATTGTTACTTACCACTGAAGTGTTTAGTCATATTAGTCAATAGAGTTCTACTTTTCTTCTGTTTAGGCAGATCCTGTTCAAACCATAGCTGTTTTGTTTGATCATATCCATTTGAACGCAATTGTGTTGTCTCCTCATGTTCTTCCAGTTCTGTTTGGTCATACTCTTGTAGTTCTTCTGTTTCTTTTTGCTTTAGGCCTTTTCTATGATAAAGCACTGACACCTCTGTTTTTCGCTCAGACCCTTTTCGTTCCAAAGCAAGTGGAGCCTCCTCAAACTCCTCACAGATAAGACTCCCTCCATTCTCTTCAACTACGTTTTCAATAATTTCCACAAAAGAAGCACGACAACACTTAATCCACTCTAAATGTCTGTTACTGTATTTTGTGACGACTTTCTGTATGATCTTCTCCTGAACTGGATCTAAACTGGTGCCAGTTTCTTTGTCCTGTGTTGTCAGAACCAGGGTGTATTTATGGGCTTCCTCAAACAGAGAGCTGAGGATGTGATCCATTCGGCTGCTGTCTGTCTCAGTGAAGTCGTTTGGCTGTAGAACCAGCACTATAACATGAGGTCCAGGAGCACACAAAGACATGCACTCTTTAATCCGCACCGTGATCTGATACACAGAGATATCAGGATCAAACAGGTGAGGAGTGTTGATTAGGGTGATGTATCTTCCCTCCACATTTCCTCTGGCTCTCTCACTGTGCTGCTCTACTGAAGGAGGAGGAGCTTCAGTATCAAATGCATCTCTGTTCAGGATGGAGTTTCCCACTCTGCTGATCTCTGTACTGTTCTTGCCCAGCAGGACAATCCTCAGTTCAGACACTAGACAACGAAGTAGAGCATATACAAATTACGTTACTATGTATGCTAAACATGCATTTTACCTCTGAATGTCTAAGCATATTTCCCTTGTTCAGTAGTAAATAAAGAAAAAAGAGATTGCTGAATTATGTAGTAATAACACTAGTATTTGTTTTATGCTATTTACATGTAGTCCTTATTTTTGTGACAGCCCAAATGCAAACTAACGCTGGTATATATGTTTTCTCTTTATGTAACACAGTTTCAAGATGCATTTCTTGGAGGCAGCGTCACACTGCGTCAAGTTACTTCCAAAGTACTACCAAGCTCATGTGGCTATATTTAACACAGCAGCAGGAGTTTATCATGCAATGCCATCTGAGGGCTCGAAGGTCACTCACATTCAACAACGGTTTCTGGCTTTGACCGCACATGGACTGAGAATTCTCTGGATTCCCTAAATCTTTTCAAAGTACTATACACGGTAGATGGTGAGAGACCTAAATTCTTTCCAATCTTATGTTGAGAAACATACACAGTTGGATGAAGAACACTTCTTTGACATAGTTAGCCACTGTATCCTGTATTATTTCAAAACTAAAAAAGATCAGATCAGATAAGCTCAGCTCGGTTACGCCCTGGATACACAATACAACTTTTGAAGTCCTAATAGATTATAAAATTACTAATATTTAATGGGTCTCTCACACTATCTGACTTGATCCTGCAAATTTTTTAAGAATGTTTTTTTCCTCTTCTCCTTTCAAGTTACTATTTCTGGAGATACAAGGTTTTGTGTACATAAGATGAAGATTTCAATTGACATGTAGAGTTGATGGCACTTGTCTACTGTAATGTAAATTGTTGCACAGCTTCTACAATTAAAATAAAATGTCCCTAGAATCTATTGTATAGGTGTATATTATCCTTAAAGTACATATCCAGTTTTAACAATCATTATCAGGTTTTGACATCATCTCCTAATTTTGGATCGGGGTTAGAGGCGGCCTGAGCAATGGCTGACACTTTCCTCTACAAATCATTGCACTTTCTGAATGCATTCACAGAAAGCCTGGCACTCTTTAATCAAGCTCCTCACAGGTGAGAATAGATACAGCACTTTCACAAGTTGAGGCCATTTCACAACTAGGCCATTGCCTAGTTCAACTATATGGAACACTAAAAATATATCTGCTACACCCACATGCACCACTCTCGCGAATTTATGTCTTGTTATGCGCAAAACAAACTTGACAATAGTGCTCATTAAGTGCTATGACATAAGAGGCTAGAAAGTGCTCCGGGTCCATTGTGTGGTTTCCTTAAATATTGTCCTAAATGGACAAAAACATTGTATTGTCCTGTTCTAGCAGCCCCGATTAAACTAATCCTGTCTAATCCTATGACTGTCATGTGGTAAATCAGATATGAACAAGAGAAACAAAGTGCCGTAAACAATAAGAACATCTTCAATATCTAACAGATACATCAGTCAAACATACTGAAATTAAAGTATTGTAATACTGAATTGTAAAACTGAAGCTATAACTGTGGTACAATATGTAATAGAGTATGAATATAGTGTAACTTACTCTCTTGAGGTCCGTCCGTACTCCCTGTACTCCAAGAGCATGATAAAGCTGCGCAGCAAGCATAAGGTACATGTTATTTTCTGTTTTACTAATACAGTGTATAATGTATCATAATGTACAGTATCTATCTGTCAGTCGAAAACCAATCCACTAAACTCAATAAGTACAGTGCTGTGAAAAAGTATTTACCCCTTATCAATTTCTTCTGTTTTTACATGTTTCTTACACTTGAATGTTTCAAGTCAGATACTTTTAATAGATAACAAAGATAACCTAAGTACACACAAAATGCTGTTTCTAAACGATGACTTCATTTACTGAAGCAAAAATTCTGCCTTGCCTGGCCCTATGTGAAAAAGTAATTGCCCCCTTAACTACTAAGTCAACCAGTTAACTAAATTCAATTGATTATTGTTCAATTAACTAGCCAGACCCAGGCATGGTTACTGCCAGACCAGTTGAATCTAAACTTCACTTAAATACAACATGTCTGGAAATGTGAAGCAGGCTCGAAGGTTTCAAAAAGCAGCACATGATACCAAACTCTAAAGAGATTTAAATACAGATGCTAAACAAAGTCATTGAAATCTACCAGTTTGGAAAGGGTTACAAAGTCATTGCTAAGGCTCTGGGACTCCAGTGAACCACAATAAGAGCCATTATCCACAACTAGAGAAAACTTGGAACAGTGGCGAACCTTCCCAGGAATGGCCTACCAAAATTTCACCAAGAGCGCATCAATGACTCATCCAAGAAGTCACAAAAGAACCCAGATGAACATCTAAGGAACTGCAGGTCTCACAAAAATGACATCCATGAGAGAGCTGTGAGGTGCAAACCACTTCTAACCAAAAAGAACACAAAGGCTCGTCTCACATTCACCAAAAAACATCTAGATGACCCCCAAGACTTTTGGGATAATATTCTGTGGACTGATGAGCCAAAGGTAAACGTTTTGGAAGACATGGGTCCCGTTACATCCAGCATAAAGCTAACCCATTAGAATCCCATTCAGATGCTGGGGCAAGAACTTAAACGAGCGGTTCATGCTCAAAAACCTTCCAATGTAGCCAAATTAAAACAATTCTGCAAAGAAGAGTGGGCCAAAATTCCTCCACAGTGATGTAAAAGACTCATCGCAAGTTATCGCAAACACTGATTGCAGTTGTTACTGCCATGGATGGCACAGCCAGTTATTAGGTTTAGAGGGCAAATACTTTTTCACATGGGTGATACAAATGTTTTGAATACATCTTTATCTTCAATAAATGCAATGATCATTTAAACTGCATTTGTGTTAACTTGTGTTGTCTATCTTATATTAAAATTCGCTGGAAGATCTGAAACATTTTAAATGTGACGAATTAGGAAAAACAGAAGAAATTGGGTGGGGGCAAATATTTTTTCAAGGCACTGTAAGGTTGCAACTAGCAAATAATATTTTAGCTAATATCTTCAATATTTAAATATCCTGTAAGAATAAGAAAGTCTTAAGATTAGCACTTGTTGAGGAAATTCCAGTATTAACCTTTAGAAACCAAAGCACTGATATTGCAGATGCATTTTCATTTTTTCTCTTATGAACTGTTTAGGAAGCAACTAGCCAACATGTATGAGTCTGAAAAATACAGAGTCTGTAAAATACAAAGATGCATACATACATTATTTTATATGTAAATGTTCCATTAATTTACCATTTTAAACGTATGTGCCAGTGCCATGATTTTATGCCTTGTTTTAGCGTTTGTGCTATGACCTCAAAAATAGAGACTATGATGTTCTTTAGTATGTGATGATAGTATGCTTCTGATCCAGTGTGCAGTTGGTCCTATGCGGACACATGCATTTTCCTGTTCTGGGAAGAGGTATTATTTAATTTATTCAACAACAGAACAATGAACTTTAATGGAAACTGTGCAATGTAGTCTCAATGCAGATACAGTGTAACTTATCTGGGCGAGGTAAATCTATACCGCTCCTCCGACAAAAGTGTGTTAGATCTGCACCACAAGAATAAGGTACATATTATTTTTTGCTTTGGTAATTTAGTGTATAATATAGCATAACGCATAGCATCTGTCTGTCAGTCTAAAAACATTCCACTAAACCAGGGGTTGGCAACATGCGGCTCTTTTACAGCCCTGTTGTGGCTCCACAGCAGAATTAGATATTTAGGTAAAAATAAAATAATCGCCCTTTGCAGTAAAATAAAGCCCTGTTGATCGTTCTAACACAGTTTTAACAATAAATGGTCTTAAATGCTGGAGTTAATGTAGCCTACAACTACTACTTCACCAAAGATTGGCGCATAGACTGCTGGTCACCATAGCAATGCATATGAATAGCTAGTAGCTAACGAAATGGCAAAGTCGCTTCTCATTCACCAGCTTCTTGTTCGAATTTTTCTATTCCACCTTAAACGGTGTCGCAGTTACACTCTGGTGCCTCGGGTACCATTTAAGGTGGAACAGGAAAATTCAAACAAGAAGCAGAAGTCAGCTTCATAAAAAAATGTCGAATGTTGAGAGACTTAGGACAATGAACATATTTAAAACAGGATAACAGACCCAAGCAAAATACCAAGCACTACCTCAAACTTTTCTCATGTTTTTGTGCAATTGTACATACAGTAAACACAGGAAAAGTGCTGTGTTTGCTTTGTTTCTTATCAATGACATATATTCACCTGAAAATTATATGCCTCCCACTAAACAAAATAATAACAATAATGATAATAATGATAATAATAATAATGATAATAATAATAATAATAATAATAATAATAATAATAAAAATAATAATAATAATAATAATAATAATAATTCACATATTATGTGAGTTATTATGCAGTAGAGAACGTTTCACAACAAAACACTGTTTTTAAAGTGTCCAGTCTCTAGACTGAGGAGGATATGCGCTCAGTTGGACATTGTGTTTTCCCTTACAGCTGTACTGTATATAATTCTGATAACATGCAGTAATAATAAACAATACTGTTTACGTAGCCCACATCATTACATACTTTAGAGTAGAAAGGGCTAAAACGCACATCCTTGTCACAACACCGCATCACTACCTGGACTGCCAGAGGCTAAAGAAACTTTATCTGAACTTGTGTTCAGTCTTCATACTGAGTGAGTTACAGTCAGACTCTTCTGAGCTACATTATAATCAGCGGGTTATTTCTGTAAACTGCTCCGCTCGTTTCTGCTGAGTCGACTGAGGCCTGACTGTTTAAGTCTCTGATCTACACTATTCAGCGCTCCTCAGCTCGTCGCTCCTTTACACTGATATATAAACTCCTCTAACTCTAAACACGCTGCACTGCAGACCTGCTGTACTTTAGTTTAGGAGAAATCAGATTCTTACCATCCCCCGACGACATTTTGTGGCTGCTGTCGAACTGAAAGTCAGGAAATTCCTGAGGTAAACAGAGGGTGGGCTTCCAAACAGAACACGACCAGAGGGGGAGACTCTCTCACTGCGGCTCGCTCAGCGTAGCTCCATCCTCCTGGAGAAGCGCGCGCCAGTCTCGCCTGGTTTAGCGGCCTAGAACTGTGTTTCACAATAAAAGTCATTGTTGGAAGAGTTTATTGATGTGGTGTCCAGTCAAGGACGGGTGTGGCTGCAGATTTTCATTCCAGTTGATTAGAAGCAGAGCTGACCAGTCCACATGCTCACTGCGGGAACCAAGATCAGAGCAAATCTTAACAAATGTCCTATTAATTCACTCAAAATATTATATTCAAACACTTTATTTAACCAATGATGATCATATTTAGCTAATCAGTAAAATCTTTATTATTATTATTATTATTATTATTATTATCATCATCATCATTAGCCAAACAGAAAACTATTCACTCTAGCTTCATTTTTTTCCATCTAGTTTTCCAGGCAGTTTGTAAAAGGTTCTGGCAATTTGCCCACTCAGCAAGGAGGCTGGAAGGTGTTTTTAGTTGGTGGTGCTGAAATTTTAAGTACCATGTATGTGATGTGAACAATGAAGTCATGCAAAATGATTTGCCTTCCCCATCTCTTTGATAATTTACATCAAACTGTATCATTGCATGCTATGATAAGGTGAGAGATTACAATATATACACATACACTGATCAATCAAACCACTGATACACATCCTTCTCTCTGCTTTCGTTTTGGACAAACTTTATGCAAATGAACTGAGTGGCAATCAGATTGTTGATGCAGTGCCCTCCACAAGTATTGGCACCTCTGGTAAACAAAACAGACTATAAAAACGTTCTTTATTACTTATCTTTTAGATCTTTCATTTGATTATTATTGATTATTATTATTATTTTGAAAAAGCAAAAGCCTAAATGTTGTCATGATGTAAATAGACCTTGCTGTAAACTGACTTGACTTGCAGTTCTCCAGCTGTATTTGTGGGGGAAACTGTAGCCAGGAAAGTTCTGGTCAAACTTAGGTGTAACACCAACTTAAATGCCTTTAAGCTTTGTTGGTTTTCAGTGAGAATAAAATAGCATTATCGTGATATTAGTATTATACTATATAGCTTCTATAATGTTGACCTTTCATTATGACATTCATGACATTCATCATTTACATATATGAGTCTTAAAAGCACAGTAATAAAAACAATCTGTTTAATTCTAAGGCATAGACAGGGATGGAAAATGGTAAAAATAAATTATGGCTGTTTTTGGTACACAAAAGAACACAAATATTCTAAGTGAATTAAAAAAAGCTTTTATTGAGGAATAAAATAGCTTAAGCTTCAATAGCTTAATATTCTCCTTATAGTCATTTGCCTGTAATTCTGCATTACAGTAACCAAAAATCTTAATATTTATAACTTTGCATATGAACTTATTATAAATCTTTTTTATCAGAAAAGTGCATGTCATGTATTAGGAGTATAATGAACATGTTTTGTTGTAATATTTCCCTTGATGATAAATACTATATAAACAAGGTATAAACAAGATATCAGTTAAAAAACATTTTTAGAAAACAATTTTGCTATAAATAAAGATGTTCTATTCCACAAAATTTTATTATTTCATAATGTAGAATTATACAGTGTGAAAAACACTTTACTAAATAATAAGGACTGTCTATGGAAAATTGACAACTGAAATTTTTTATCAATTCAAAGTCACACCTCAATATAAAGTCAAAGCCCTCCAACCTCCAGAAATAATTGCTGTGGAATGGGATACCACAGGGACCCAGAATACAGAAAACAGTTTCGCAGCCACTATTTACACTGTGTCGCTCATACAGACAATAAGTGATCATTTATTTCAGTTTTTATATTCCTGAACGTTAACTGAGTAAGGAAAATTATATAATTATAAAAATGTATAAAGTGGTTTTATCCTCCCACACGCACATCTATCATGTTACTCACATGTTGGCTTTACAGATAAAGAACACGAAGAGCTCGGCTGCTGTCCGGCGGTGTACGAGTTTTGGCACACCGGAATTCGGAGGGGTACAGGAGGGGCTCGGCAACTGATGTTTCGGCAAAAATTAGAATGGCCGATCCCACCAGTAGTAAGGCAGATTTCACCAATATTGACTCAGATTCCACCGCATTGAGGCAGATTCTACCCGTATTGCGGCAGATTCTACCCGTATCGAGGTCCGAGTCATCACCAACGCTCCACCGCAGAGGCGGGAAGCGCGTGCTTAGAGCACCTTCTGGAAACTTCGGATTCAGAACGACTCTAGTAAGTAAATACTTGGTTTATTTGATGACATTTACTACATTTACTAAAAATTACATTTACTAAAACCTAATCCTATAATGTGTTAATGAACACTTTATATGTTAAAACAAAAATGAGCGCCACTGACTAACAGTCAGTTAGCTCGCCATTAGCTGTTTTGGTCCAACAGACCGTTCTCGCCATGGCAGCTAGACTAGCCACTCACCTTGTTTAGATTAATGTTTGCTCTCACAAAAAAAGAGTTGTTTTTTTTTTACCATTTTAAAGTCGGAATATGTCGAATTTGTATTCTATTTTAGAGTGTACAGTTTTGTGTACCTTTTTGCACAAGCATAGCTGACATTAGCAAGCTAAGTTAACCTAATAGCTCTGCTGGAAGACCAGCTCAGTCCGGGCTAACTTATGCTAACCCAAGACGAATAAAGGCTGAAGCTGAGCGAGAGACTTCGAGTGACTGGTGTTGGAGTGACAGAAAAGGAGGAACTAATCAGGCTCTGTGATGTGTGCGGTTGTTAGCTCGCTGGCTAGCAGGTTATTGGCTTCACACAACACCATAGATATACATACCTAGATCCCGCATTGGGTCCAGTCAGGCACAGCGCCGCCATTTTAGGTCGGTCAACATCGCTGGGGGACTGCATTCAGTAGCTACCATTACAGAGCGGCAGTTTAAGTAAAATACTGTCAAAAACTATATACTATTTCAGGAATACTGCACTCAGAAAGTGGGATAGGATTATATAACGGAGGGAACGCAGTGATCCACGCTCATGATTGTGTGATGCATATTGTTTGTGTGACGTTTATGTGTAGATATGGCCGTGTGGTTAATGAGGCGCAGAGAACCTGATAATGTGATTGTTTTTTCTCTGGTTTTATATTAAGCTTATTTCATTTAATCGTCTATTCAGGTGATCTTAACTTGATATAGTAGTTATTTATTTAAATGATGGTTATTGCTTTGTAGCTAGGAAAATTATAGTATCCCTTAATCCGTGTAGATGTTCATAATTAACATTAGCACCTTACAGAAAGCTGAAGTTAGCTTCTTATTTGCCAGCTTCTTGTTCGAATTTCCACCTTAAATGGTGCATCAGCCAGCTTCTTGTTCGAATTTTCCTGTTCCACCTTAAATGGTGCAGCTTCAGGCACCAGAAAGTAAAGTGGAACAATTTAAGGTGGAACGGGAAAACTCGAAGAAGCAGCTGGCGAATAGGAAGAGAAACTCGTCCTTTTTGGGGGGTTATTTTATTTTTATGTGTATTAAGTTTAGAAGTCATTCACTCATTGATGGATTTGCTGATGTGTGTGAAATTGTGTTTCTACCGGAGCGCTAAACTCGGTTTTTAAAGTCAGGTGCAGACTGAATACTTTTCTGCTGGTCCAGACGGCTAATGAGCATGATCAGTTATTAAAGAAATAAAAGCTACCAAGCAGCCTAGATTAATCTGTGTCTGAGTATTATAACAAAGCAAATGTGGTGAAAATCGGTTGAATAATAAGGAAGTTATGGCCAATTTAATCCTGAGACTCATCATTTGTCAGTACAAATGAATTTGTTCACAAGCGGATCTTGACCGCACCAACATGGCGGACGCGCAGACGTATTGCCTTGGATAGAGAGCAACAGGCAACAGGGCATCTAGGTATGTATACCTATGCACAACACAAACCAGGTCTGATGCTTTACTCACATCAGTCTAGAAGATATAAACAGAAATCTGAGGGAGTGACTGGTGCTAGAGTTAAAATAGTAAGTTATTATTTCATCTAACCTGTGATTTGGTAACTAAATTCTAAAATCCTAAATAAGACTCATGTGTGTAAAATCTTTGTTCTCTCTTGTATTCATGTCACTGATTTAAGGCTTAACCAAATATCTTCTCTTCATCTAATGAACTCCACATTTCCTCCATTTACCAACAGCTTTTCTCAAGTGTGGAAGCAGCTTTTATTACCTTTGTCTAGCATGTTGCTGGTTTGTTTTTGCTCATTTTTCTTAACAGTGTAATCACAATTGCCCAAAAACAGAGCACGGAGTGCATCTGGAAAAGTCTCCTATCTGTAGCACAGATCATATTTTTGTTACTTATCATTTAAAATAAACATATTGCGTTCTTCATGAAGCTGAAGTTGGCTTTATTCATATTTCCGTGCCACCTCAAATTGTAAGATGAAAACATTGAGATTTAACGTGGAACGGAAAATTAAAAGAATAAGAGAACCTCGGCCGCCTGCTTCATTCAGAATTCGTAGCAAACATTCTGCTGAACAATGTGGACCAGAGTCTGCCCACTTTTAAGGATGGAGACGATGTTGTGAGATGGTGGGCTTCTGTTTTAGAAACTGGAAAATTCTTAGGCCTCTGCCTCTGTATAACAGCTGTTCTGTCCATTTTCCATGGTCCACTGGTAGAATATTAATTTAATGTTTCTAGATAATAAAGGTTTTTTTGCTTGACTGAAACATTTTTTTTTTTTTACTTTCCTGCAGTTTCAGTCTTATGTGCACTAGAATGTTTCATTTTCATTTTAAAATCACTAAAATTCAGACAGGTGCGGATGCCTTTGAACTCGCCTACAGCGGATTGTGTTTTCTCAACTTGTCACCTTTTTCACTCCTCTCAGGTTTTCATGACTGATATATCTGCTTCCATGGTGGATCACCTTCTTATACAAGCAAAGTTTAAAATATTAATTTTACTGAAGTCCTGTTTCAGTGTCTCTCTATTTCTAGAAACCCCTCCCACCCACCACATTGCAGCTACAGGAGCCTTCTCACCAAG